TTCTTGCTACAGGGATAGAGCTAAGTAGTGTGATAGAGACCATGTGGCTTCTAAAGCCTTAAAGTACTTGCCATGCTCACTGACCCTCGGCCCAGTCAATAGTTAACAACTGACAACTTTAAAAATCTTTTATTTGAAATAAGTTTGTTTTGTTGGAGTAGCTAGCAGCAACTAAGATATCTCAGTTCAGGGAAAAATTTCCTCAAACTTTTGTGAAAGTTACTAGAAACTGATTTGATAGGTTCATTTGATAGGTTGTTTTCAGATCTAAAAAGAATATATTTGATGTGCCTGCAAGTTCCTGAGGGAAGTTGAAACATTAAGGAGTTAATTAGACTGAAGTCCAAGCTTATTGTTTAGTGCCTTTGTTTTAAATTGGTAAGTCTTGAGTAGCCATAGGAAGGGGCAGGTCAAGACTGGGACTTCATTTCAATACCTGAGGTCTGAGGGACATGAAGAATTTATATAAATACAGGGTTGTCATATGAGATTACATACATTAGAACATAGCATTTGAGGGGAAGAAGCTTAGATTTGGGAAGCAGGGTTCAGACACAACACGTATCAGTAGACCTGGAAAAGTTGAAATAGTCATAACTGAGGGAATAATTTGATGGAACTAACAGGAATCAGCAGCTACTTTAGAAAACAAGGTAGGAGGGAGCCAGGCCCAAGAAATAGACGGGTGGGATTAAAGCCTATATATGAGGGGTGCCTAGGTAGCTCAGTTGGGTAAGCACCTGACTCTTGATTTTGACTCAGGTCATGATCTTAGGGTCATGGGATCAAGCCCCCTACCTCCGACAACTCCACCCTCAATGGGGAGTCTCCCTGGAATTCTTTTTCCCTCTGCCCCTCCCCACATGCATGCACATTCTCTCCCTCTCTCTCTCTCAAATAAATAAATAAGTAAGTAAGTAATCTTAAAAAACAAGAAAACCCACCAAAACTATACATGAGAAAACTGGGTATGTAGAGAGCCCAAGCTTAGAGTGCATGCAGCCTTAATCTTCTCACTGAAGCGTAGAGATGGGAATCATCAGGCAAATAGAAAAAAAGGTTCCAGAATAAACTTCCATTCTTCTCTAACATTTTCCAGTGCAAAACCAGATCAAACTTTGAGAATACAGGGAGCATTACATTCCCAGTTTTTGGTGAGGAGTTGATACATCTGATTAGAATGAGGGTTGCAATGAAGCTTGGCACTTCCTAATGTCAGTATTACAGCAGAATAAGTTGTCAGCTGGGTAAGACAGGTTTATTACTGTGTATCAGGCATTCTGATATCTCCTGTAGATATAAAGATTATTCTCTTGATACGCATTCTATTACTTACAGAAGTTTTTAAAAAGCTCTGAATGGTCTGGCAGTTTATTTTAGCACTGTTTTCTTTTTCTAAAATACTGAATGTTACAGTGATGGTCCTACAATTCTCAACAAATGGTCTTTGAGGGAGGTCCTGGAGGACTGAGTTTGATGTTGAGGATGACAACAGGAATGTATAGAACACTTAAATTTGGAGATAGAAATTGAATAGAAGGGAAAAAAAAGAAAAAGGGCACCTAGGTTCAAAGTCTGACTTTTGATTTTGGCTCAAGTCATGATCTCAGGGTTTTGAGATCAAGTCCCAAAGTGGGCTCCACACTGGGTGTGGGGCATGCTTAGGATTCTCTCTCTTCCTCTGCCCTCCCCCCCCAAAACAAAGAAAGAATTTGAATAAAAGGAAAAGTGGATGATGACAAGCTATCTCTGTAATCTTGTGCTCAGTTCACATTAGTTCATTAAATGTATAGATTTATACTTCACCTACTTAATAAAGAACTTTGAAATAGTGTTAGGCACAAAAATTAGGCACTGGTGAAAATATATTTTATATTTACAATAAAACTAATCAATATAGCAGAGAAGTAGATGTTAGTAGACATTGAGATTTATGTTCAGACAAGTAAAATAAACATGAGCAAGCTTACTTAAAAGCTAAGGCACAAAAAGGGAAAAACATGTTAAATCATCTTTTTTTTTTTTTCTTTCTTTCATAGAGAACGTAAGTATGTGGAAACTAGCTGAATCATTCTCCTGTTTCTGCATTCAAGGAGAATATACTTTGGGAATTCTTGCATAGGGATTTTTTTTTTTTTTTTGTTAAAGATGATTGTTTCTTTAACAAATGGGTAAAACAATGTTCTAGAGCAAGTCTTCCATCAATCTTTGTAAGTTGAAGACTTAATATTAAAGTTTAGTTAAGGCATTCATTGAGAAGTAGATAAAATGATCTATGCCTATTTTCTGATCATCAGATTTAATGAAGAAATGAGATTTTACTTTATTTTTATTTTTAAGAATTTATTTATTCATGAGAGGCACAGAGAGAGAGAGGCAGAGGGAGAAGCAGGCTCCTCACAGGGAGCCCAGTGTGGGGCTGGATTCCCCCGACCAGAGCCAAGGGAGATGCTCAACTGCTGAGCCACCCAGGTGTCCCTAAACAAGTATCTGTTTTCTCCCAGACACTGAAGATAGTTTGGAGAAAAGGAAAAAATTTAAACAAAAAAAGACATGGTTTCTATTCTTAGAGCTTATTCTCGTATAGGAGAGGGCAAGAGTGGATCTCAGATGGGCAGCATCCAGGGCTTATTGAGAAATTGACCTTTACTTTTTATACATACAGCTTTTTGTAAGCACTATAGAATGTGTTGATTTTATTTTGTACCTAGTATAAAAGAAAGTAGACTGGCATACAGGTAGGAATTGAAGCCACACATATTAAAATTCCCCGTGAGTTTGGCAAAGATAGCTTCTTAAATGATCTGATGGGATCTTGACCCTAATGCTTAGCAATATTAACAGATGGGCACTTCTGTGGGAACTTAAAGGGAAGGACATTTGTACTTCTCCCACAATTGATTTCACGTGAATATCTCTTGTACCATTAACATCTTATTAACTTAAACTGTATTAAAGGAACTTTAATCCTTTGACCTTGGGTGTCACAAAGAGTGACAGTACTTTATTTATTTGAGAGCAAGAGAACATGTACACGAGCCTGGTGAGGGGCAGAGGGAGAAGCAGACTCCCTATTGAGCAGGGAGCCCAGTGTGGAGCTCCATCCCTCAGGACCTGAGCCAAAGACAGCCCCTTAACCAACTGAGCCACCCAGGTGCCCCTGTGTTGGTCCTTTTTTTTTTTTTTTTTTTGGTCCTTTTAATAATCAAGTAGTAGTTAAATGATCAGACAAGTAAACATGAAAGTACTATGTTGAGTGCTTCAGAGGTGAATGACAATACAGTGAGGAGCTATTGATCTGGCTGGAAAGGTAGGGAAGGCTTTCTTCATTAGGTGTTGCTCAAAACTAAGATGGATGAGTACACATTAACTAGTGAGGAGATCCTGGTGAAGAGTATTCCAAATTTAGGGAATGAGCCCATTTTAAATTTAGGCTCTGTGGCGGAAAACTGAAAAAAAAGATTATTGTGCCAGGAGCAGAGGGCTTAAGAAAGGAGCATGGAGTGAGATGAGACTGAAAAGGTTGGCAGGAGTTCGACTATGTGTTTATTCAAAGCATGGGAAATCATTGACCTTTTTAAGGGAATATTAGTGATCTGATCAGATTCGTTTTTGAAAAGATAGACATGCACATCCATTTAGAGGTGTTCTCTGGGTGAAAGATGAAAATGGAGCTGGGTTGTGGTTAGAGGAGGAAGAGGAGACAAATATGGGGAAAACTTGGTAGAAATCAGTAGAATTCATTGATAGATGGGTTATAAGGGGTGCTACAGCAAAAGCTCCGTAGAGGACTCCCTAAATTGCTAGTTGACTAACCAACACGTTCTGTTTTAGTTACTTTTAAAGTCTGTTCAGGTTGTTTTTGCAGTGTTGTAATGGCCAAAACTTAGTTTTTAGATTTGAAGTTATTATCTTCTAGCATTATAGTTAAAATCTTATCAGTGAGTTATAGAGGAAGTTTTAATTTAATTTAAGCTTAGTTATTTGTTCATTGCCTGATTCTTTCTCCCCCCTTTAGCTGTTTTCTCTTTGAGCAGTTTTATTATCCTTTGCTTAAATTAGAAATTTCAAAATAAAATTATTTTTTGGTGGAGAAGATTACTGCTAAACCTTAAATCTCTTGATTTCTAAAAAGTTTTGAGATCTAATTCATACACCATATAATTAATCACTTTGAAGTGTACAGTTCAGTGGCATTTAGTTAGTTTGGTTGTACAACGTTACCACAATTTTAAATTTTGTCACCCCCAAAAAGAAATGTTGTACCTATTAGTAGTTATTCATCATTTCTTCCCAATTCCCCCAATTGTAGGCAGTCACAAATAGATTTGCCTTTTCTGAACATATTATATAAATGGAATCTTATAATATCTGGTGTGTTTATGACTTTTTAAACTGAGTATAATGTTTTCAAGGATCATCTATTTTGTAGCATATATCAGTATTTTTTCCTTTTTTTATGACTAATATTTTGAATGGATGTAACACTTTTTTATCCATTTTTTCAGTTAATGGACATTTGGGCGGTTTCCACTTTTTAAATGACTTTTTTATGAATAATGTTGCACTGACCATTGTGTACAGGTTTTTATGTGAATATATATTTTCAAATCTTTTAGGTATATGCCTGAGAGTGGAATTGCTGGGTCAAATTACATATTACTGTGTTTCACTTTTGAGGAACTGCCAAGCCATTTTCCAAAGCTGCTGCACCATTTTACATTCCCACTAGCTATGCATAAGGGTTCTAGTTTCTCCACTTCCTTACTTACACTTGTTATTATCTTTTTTGATTATAAACAAGTAAGTGTGACATTGTAACTCATTGTGGTTTTGATTTGCATTTTCCTAAGGGCTAATGATGTTGAACTGGATTTTTAAAAGAAAGCAACACTTTGATTTTACTGAGAATATAAAAATGGAAATGTTTAGTGATTTCATGTTATTGCTTAGAGACCATTAGTTTTGCTGTATTTAAAATTTGTTCTTCTTTTTATCAGTTGTATTCCCTGAATGACTACAAACCACCCATTTCTAAAGCAAAAATGACCCAAATTACTAAGGCAGCCATCAAAGCTATTAAGGTGAGTAATACATTTTACGCTTGTGTTTTCAGGAGAAAACACCATACTGCTGTTTTAGAGGGAGGATAATTATTACATTATGCCGTTGACCATTGAACATCACAGATTTGATCTGCACAGGTCCACTTACTTGATCTGCACAGGTCGGCTTACATGTGAACTTTTTTTGATAAGTACAATGCAATACTCTGAATATGTTTTCCTTATGGTTTTCTTAGTAGCATATTATCTCCAGCTTACTTTGTTATAAGAATACAGCATATAATACATGTAACATAGAAAATATGTGTTAATTAACTGTTATCAGTAAGGCTTCCAGTTAGCAGTAGTTAATTTTGGGGGTTATCCAAAGTTATATGTGAATTTTTGACTCTGCAGGGGATTGGTTGTTTAAGGGTCAGCTGTATTTTCTTCCTCTTTATGGGGTTAAGACATGTAAATACATATACTTAAAAATACAAAAATGATAAACTATTATCCTATTCTCACCTGTGTACTCTTCCACCTAGAGATGAATGTGTCTGTTATTTGTCACACTGACTTTACAGAATTTTGGTAAAGGTTTCTAAATAAAAATTAATGTGTTTTTTTTTCTTATTGATTCTATTATAGATTTGAAAATGAACCAATTTGAGAAATAATTAAACCTTATTATATATAGGACATTTGAACTCCGTGAGAAGAAGCCACAGGCCTTTAGCCATTGCTCTTATACAGAGGTTTTGAACCAATCTATGTTGACTCATTGATACTTCAGAAAATCTCAGAGAAAGTTTGTACTTTTCTGTAGAGAAATATACACATGTATAAACTTTTGCATAAAATGTTGGACTTTAAGGACCTTTAAGTTCAGCCATAAATACCTCTTTCTAAGAGGCACTTGTCCACAAAGCCAAGACTCCCTGCTTTAATTTATTTAGTAGGGCTGTCAAAATAGACAATGAATGAGTGCTTATATTTAATTAAGTAGGGTTTAACTTGTGGGTGTTTGGTGATATGTTTCCCTACTGTAAATAGCCAGAGGCACCAATTATTTAAATAAATTGTCTTTGAATGACAGCATTATCTCTTAGATTTAACAAATTTTTATTTACAGAGAGAATCACCATTAGGAGAAAATTCAGATAGTTCATTTTTTCAGTGTTCTGATGGTCAAAGCTTAATTTTCACACTTGCAGTTAATTTTTTGCATTATAATTAAAATCACTGTATTTATATGCATAGTATCAAAGAGGTGATAAAGTGATAAGGACAGTGACCAGGAAGCATTTAAGCAAGAGATCTTCAAAAAAGAGTGATTTTTCAGGGTGTCTGATAGGCTTTGTATATAGAATGCTCACTCTTGTGCTTTCTTTGTCCTGTTTTACATTCTGATCTGATTTTTATGATTATGATTCTGAGAGTATGCAAATATGTGTATTACCGTTTTTAGTCTGGAAATAATTGATGCCTTTTATATAATTTGAGCAGAAAAAAAATTTTTTTTCATTAAAGTATAGTTGATAACACTATGTTCTACTTTTAGGTATACAACATAGTGATTCAACATCTTTTCTTATGTGCTGTGCTCACCACAAGGGTAGCTATTCTCTGTCACCATACATTGCTATTAGAATATCATTGATTATATTCCCTATGCCACCTTTTGTCCCCATGATCTATATTCATTTCATAATTGGAAGCCTGTGTCTACCCCCTTCATCTATTTTGCCCCTCTTTCTGTCCCCCTTCTCTCTGAGCAGAATATTTTTTGATTAAAATAGTTTGTAAAGATGTTAATGTAGCATCAACATTATTCCCACTTTTCAGATGCAGGAAGGGTCTAAGAAAAATTAAGTTAATTTGCAGTAGTCAGAATAAATACAGTTAGATTTGAACCCAAGTTTCAGTCCATCTAAACATTATATACTGTACTATTTTGATTTATTGTTACTGCTTTAAATTTTTTAATTTTGAAAATTCAAACATGTTCCAAAATATTATAATGAGCAATGCATAGTCTTCCCTTAGATTTATTTGCCAATAAACATTTTGCTACATTTGGTCTATTTCTACACACACACATTTATTGGCTGAATCATTTGAGAGTTAGTTTCAGATTTCATTCATAATAGCACTTAATCCCTAAATACTTGAATTTGAATCTTCTTTCAAAGAATAGACATTTCCTAAGTTAGTTACTTAGGAAAGTATTGTACACTGATCACATGTAAGAAATTACAAAATATAGTAAGACCATATATTCATTTTTTTTGTCCTGTCACTCAGCCTTACCCAGCCTTTTTGTTTTGTTTTTCATGTCATTGATATTTTTGAAGACCTCAGACCAATTGCTTTGCCAGTACTGTATTATTTTAAACTCCATTTAGTACATATGTAAATTGAGATTTGAGCTGCCTTTTAAAATCAGATTTAAATGATACTGTGTTTTATATTGAGCTAAGTCATTGTGTTTTTGTTTTTTTTTTAATCAGTGTTTAGAGACATGGTTATTTTAATGGGTGCTTATTGGCATTGTACACTGTCAGCAAAATTTCACAGATAATCTGTTGGGGAAGAAGGCCCATGTGAATTGATGAACTTTGAATTAAAGTTTAGTAGCAGTTTTACTCAGAATTATATGTAAAGTAGCTAGAAGCAAAAGCACTGTCAAGATGTTTTCTAGGAGAATTATTTAATAAAAATAACTTAGTGTGTAATTAATATTTTGTATGTTGAAGTGTTTAGTACTTTTAAGTAGTTTTGACTTTTTTGTTAAAGTGACCTACACTGTTGAGTAAACTGTTCCTTTATAGTATGAAAATTTTAGCTAAGCTTTAACTTGTACATTTGGATTTGATGACTATGAGTAATGACATTTTCCTTTATTTTGACTTTTGAATTTCATAAATGCAGTTCAGAGGAATGTTTTTGTGTCTCTCCTCTCCTTGTTTACCGTCTTTTTTTTTTGTTTGTTTGTTTACCGTCTTTAAACAAATACGGTAATCATGCAGTTACCATCGAGGTATTAAAATTTATTAAGCACAAATTTTAGATACCTTTTGCTTTAATTTATGATTTATAATTTATTCCTTTTTAGGTTTATCCATAATGTTTCGAAAACTTACATATATTTTCTTATAATTAATAATAGTCCATTGCTCATTTTTAATTTGTATGTTCACTTCTGCTGATTTTTGGCTGATCCATGAGAACTTTATACATCTCTGTATCTTATTATATATACTTGTTCCATTTTCCAGGAGAAGCAGAAGGAGATAATGAAGTTGAAAAAACTCCCTTGCATACATTTATTAATGCTATTTGTTTAGTTATTTGATATTTCTACTACTACTCTAATTTTATAATAGGAAATTATAGGAAATCTTTTCCTTCCATGAAAGTAATAATACACATCTGCCAGTGTGCTTATTACATACACTTTGCTGTCAACATAACAATTTGTGAAAGTATGGTTTTATAAGGACTATGATCACATTCTTTTATATCTCATAATACACTTTGGATATACAGTCGGCTCTTGAATATCCTGGGGCTTAAAGTGCTCATCCCCCCATGCAGTTAAGAATCTATGTATAACTTTGGACTCCCCAAAGCTTACTGATAGCCTACTGTTGACCAGAAACCCTACTAATAAGATAAATAGTTGTATTAACATTTATTTTGTATGTTGTATGTATTATATACTGTATTCTTACAATTAAGTCAAATGTTAAACATCATAAGAGAAAATATATTTATAGCACTGTACTGTTTATTGAAAAAAAAAAAGAATGTGTAAGTGGACCCATGCAGTTCAAACCTGTGTTCAAGGGTCAGTTGTACTGACCATGTATGTACTTCAAGAATCCTTTACTAGTTAAATATCATAGTTTAATTGCTTATAAAGGTGAGTGACATGTTTCTCAAAATTCATGATTCAAATTCATTGTTTTGATAGACCTTTGAAACAGTGTTATACCTATGTTTAACAGAAAAATTCGAATCTGTATTGAACAAGTTTTAAAACCATATCATATTTTTTCTTTTAGTTCTATAAACATGTGGTACAGAGCGTTGAGAAATTCATTCAGAAAGTAAGTATATAAATATTTTCAAAATATACGCTAAATGTACTATAGTTATAGAATAATGCCTTGTGCTCTGTTCTTTAAAAACTAAAGTTTAAATTGTTTTGATGGACTATTCAAAAATAATTCCATTTATTTTCTTTTCTGATTAAGAAATATGGGCACCTGGGTCACTGAGTCAGTTAAGGGTCCGACTTGATCTCAGCTTAGGTCTTGATCTCAGGGTTGTAAGTTTAAGCCCAGAACATTGCGCTCCACCAGTGTCGAACCTACTTAAAAAAATAAATAAATAAAAAGATAGTGCTTTTTGGATAATTCTAAAAACAATAGTTCCATAATTCTAAAAATAATAGTTCTCATTCAGGTAGATGTTCTTGTTAACTTGTACTGCCATAGTGAGCATCTGTCACTTGAAAAAAATGGTGTATGTATGATTGATTTTACTTTCTTTTTTTTTTTTAATTAAATTTTTTTTAACTTATTTATTTATGATAGTCACAGAGAGAGAGAGGCAGAGACACTGGCAGAGGGAGAAGCAGGCTCCATGCACCGGGAGCCCGATATGGGATTCGATCCCGGGTCTCCAGGATCGCACCCTGAGCCAAAGGCAGGCGCCAAACCACTGCACCACCCAGGGATCCCTGTATGATTGATTTTAAATAAAATTATAAATGTGTTGCTTTTAATAGCCTTTAAAGAAATTCTCGCTTGTCATTTCAAGCAGAATACCTAGGAACAGCTCTAGATAAGATGTGATTAAGACATTGCCTACCAGCTACTTCTCTTCTGCTGATTCATATTGTCTCATCCATTAGGATTTTATACATCTCAACATCTTATTTTATAGACCTGAAGTTCCATTTTCTAGAGTAAGCAAAGGGTGATGAAGTTGAAAAAAGCTGTCTTATACACATTTAGTAATACTTTTTTTTTTTAAGATTTTATTTATTTATTCATGAGAGACACAGGGACAGATAGAGGCAGAGACACAGACAGAGGGAGAAGCAGGCTCCATGCAGGGAGCCCGATGTGGGACTGGATCCTGGGTCTCCAGGATCACACCCTGGGCCGAAGACAGTGCTAAACTGCTGAGCCACCCAGGCTACCCTAGTAATACTTTTTATAAGCAGAGTCCAAGGTGACTAGATTATAGTTTTTTGCCCTCTTAGTGATCAGTGCCCTATTCATTCCGCAGTTTTTGGCAGGAGTACATAGGGCTTAAAACTTATGAAATGATACTATGTTTGTACCTTACTGTAATTGAATTTAGATTTGATATTCTGCCCATGTTCATGTGCCTAGACGTAACCAGAACAAGTAAGTTTGAGAATAAGTGGTATATGGCATTAAGGATTCAGCAAGGTTGCAGTGTTTCTTAAAAATAGTTGCCTAGGAGAAGGGTATATAAATCAAAGTGAGGTGACTATGTCATGTAGGTAACCTCGAGTAAATCATTTAACCTTTATATGATTCAACTTTTTTTTTTTTAAAGATTTTATTTATTCATTCATGAGAGACAGAGAGAGAGAGAGGCAGAGACACAGGCAGAGGGAGAAGCAGGCTCCACGCTGGGAGTCCAATGTGGGACTCGATCCATGGACTGCAGGATCACGCCCTGGGCCGAAGGTGGCACTAAACCGCCGAGCCATCCAGGAATCCCCTCAACTTTTTTTCTAAAGTCTTGCTTTCTCAGTACTAGTAAAGCATATTTTGAGATGAATTGAGGCTGAGACACAAAGTAAAATTCAGTATGCTGTGTGTTTTAGGTAATCACAGTATAAAATAGAAATTATCTCAAAAAATTATCTCTATTGTGAAATAACTGTAGAATCAGTCTGGAAAAGCGAGTCAGTATTGGAGAAGGAGCTGAAGTAAAGAAAAGAGTAGAATGTCTTTATTGTAGGACATTGCAAGGTACAAAGTTCCACATAGCAATAAGAAACCTGTTGAGAGGAAAAGCTTCATACAGTATGTATGGTTTGGAGCTGTTCAAGTATAATGCCATTGTAAAAAGTGCTCCAGTAGCCACAAAAGAATTCTTAGTAGAGAAACAGTATGACAAACTTAGACCAAACATAGTGCAAACAACTTCATGCCCCAGCTGTGCAGTCTAAGGGTTAAAAGTCCCAGGGGTGCTATCTTCCATTTAGAATGTATAACCTTCAGAGGAAATTCTGGCACAGTATTTTGATCTTCCTCTTACGAGAAATGCTTCTCAGTCAAGTTTAGTGAAGTTTTGTATGCAGACTCATTTTTATAGAGCTTCAGTTTTGCTCTCCACATTCTTCAGTCATTATACTGAGTTTCTGAGTTTTGCCTAGTTTTCAAGCAGCCTGAAGGATATTTGAAATGGCATCCAGAATAATTTTGCTATCTTTCATAGTTAAGAGGTTGGTTCATCAGCCATTCTGTTATGTCATAGTGAGGTATACAGTCTGTTGGACTCTTCCATCACAGCCCATACAGCTTACTTTTGTATCTTGAAATCTGCCTTAGAGGGATTACTGGCTGGCTCAGAGAGTATGAGACTTAGAACACCAAAGAGGAATGATATTGCCAGTCAATGTCTGGGCAGAAATGTAAATGGTTTACCCCTGCCCCCTATTTAAAGGAGAAATTTGGCAGTGGGTTAGTGTAATGCTAAATTGAGTTGTGTGTGTACATTTTTAAACTATTTTGTGATAATTGTATATTCGTGCATCATTAAATCAATAATTATAATGATACTTGTAATAGATTAAAGAGAGATCCCACATATTTTTCACCCAGTTTCCCCCAATAGTAATGTTTTGATAACATAAATATTACAACCAGGATATTCATATAGTCCACCAAGCTTACTCAGATTTTACCAGTTTTACATGCACTCATTTGTGTATGTGTATATTTAGTTCTGTGCAATTTAGTCACATGTATTGGTTCATAAAACCACCACTGAAGTCAAGATCCAAAGTAATTCCATCACCCCAAGGATCCATCGTATTCCTTTTCCTTTTTATAGAGCCACACTTTACTCTCCTCCTCCCACCACTCTAACTCTCACCCCTAACTCCTGAGGGGCATTAATGTGTTCTCTATCTGTAATTTTGTCATTTCAAGAATATTATGTACATGTAGCTTTTTGAAATTGGCTTGTTTTGCTCAGTATAATTTTATTTAGATCCATCTAAATTGTGCATGTGTCTAATAGCTTCTTCAATTTTGAGTAACATTCCATAGTATGGATATACCACAGTTTATCTAACCATTCACCCACTGAAGGTCATCTGAATCCTTTCCATTTTGGGGGAGCTATTAATAAAGCTGCTAGAACATTTGTGGATTTTTGTGTGAATGAAAGTTTTCATTTCTCTAGGAAAGTTAGTGCATGTTTTGTTTTATAAGAAACTTCCACTGTTTTCTAGAATGGCTGTACCATTTTACATTCCTATCAACAATGTATGACTAATCCAATTTCCACATTCTTGCCATCATTTGGTGTACCACTATTTTTGGTTTTAGCCATTCTGATAGATGTATAGCAGTATCTCATTGTGGTTTAATTTGCATTCAGCTAATGGCTGATGTTGATTTTCACAGGCTTATTTGACGTTTTCAGTGAAATATCTCTTCGTGTTTTCACCCATTTTCTAATTGCATGGTTTTCTACTGTCAGGTTTTCAGAGTTCTGAATAATATTCTAGATGTAAGTCCTTTATCAGTTATATGGTTTGTAAATATTTTTTTTCTTAGTTTGTAGCTTGTTTTTTCATTCTCTTAACACAAGGTCCAAGGTCTTTGGTAGAACAAAGATTTTTTTTTTAGTTTTGATAAGGTTCCAGATTAATATAACTTCTTAATACCTCTTTCCTGTTTTTACTGGAACTTAAAATGGGGCAGAGAGGAGACAGATTAAAACATAAGTAAAAGTGTTGCAGTAGTAGTCATAGTAGGGAACCAGAAGCCCACTCCACCTGTTTTGCTTTCTGTGCCATAGCCATTGCTGCCCTTGCCTAGATGCTTGGTTTCTGTGGAGCCTAATTTATAAAACCATTGAATTGGAGTATTGTTTATAGTAGGAAATACTGTTTTAACAAATTTACGAAAAAGTCCATTTGTCATGCACATTATATATGGTCAAATGAGAGATTAAGAAAAATGTGAAGTATTGTTTTAATGATGTTGACTTGTAATTTTGGGTGTTTTCCAGCTCCAGAACACCACATATTAACTTGTCTTTACTTTTCCTGTATTTCTGTGGAGTGGAATTGCTGGGTTATGCATTTCTCCAACTTGGCTAGATAATACCAAATTAATTAAATTCACAATGGTTGCAATTCGTACTCCCACTCTCATTCAGTGTGTGAGTTTGTGTTGCTCCCATCTTTACCCACACTTAGTATTGTTAAACTTAAATACATCTAATGAGTCTTAAAGGTTATTTTTAAAAGATACACCCTTATATCACCTTTACCTAAGGGATTAAATTCTAATCAGCATTAAATCTTGTTTGTCAAAATGTTTTTTAGATTCTTAAGGACTCATCAAATTGAATGAATTTCTGTAGTCAAAGAGCAAAATGTCCTTTTATCAAACCAAAAAATTTTAGATAATTATTAGTTATAAACTATTACCACTTTTCCTCAGATTCAGTATTATCACATCTAGGTTAATCTGAAATATTTTACTAAGATGTATATTAAACTTGGATTTGTTTAGGTTTGTTTCATCAGGAACTTGGATAATACTTTTCTTTCTTCTTGTCATCTCCCTTCTATAGTTTTGCAGTGATACTTTATGTCCATGAAGAACAAAACCCTTGTCTGTCTCTGGCTTCTTTGCTTGGGTGACTGCAGCCCTCTAAGTGTAAAGAGGAAAGGAATTAGTGATCCCTGTTATTCCTTCCAGCTTAGGTGTCATGGAAATCAAATTGCTATTGTGAAATTTCTGAGATTCCACACTTTTGGGAAAAACTTGAATTATCAGAAGTCTCAAAAATGACACAAAAGTAATGTGTTTGCCATCTAAAAGAAAATAACCACTTATTCTCGCTACTATTGTATCTGTAATTTAAGTTCTATAGTTAAATATTATTTCCTTAGATAACGTAGATTGGTTCAGAGTTAGCAGTGGAGATCTCATAGGCTTATTCAAGAGTATTAATATATCTTTAGTTCTTGTTGAACCTTCCTTTCCAGTCTGTATCCCTTTTATTTCCTTTTCTTGTCTTGTTGCATTAATTAGAACTTATAGGATGATGCTGAAAAGCAGTGGTGAGAGGGGGCAACCATTCCTTGTGTCATCCATACTTGGTCTTATTGGGAAAACTTTTCAGTTTGTCAGTAAGTGTGATGTTAGTTTGTAGGTTTTTGTTGTTGTTGTTTTAAATAGAGCCTGTTACTTCTGGACCATGGACTTAACACATGCTTCTCAGTTTTTCTTAATCCTTATTAAGTCAGGACAGGATGGCTATAGTAGGCTGGAATTGGGTATTGTCCTTACCCCAGGTCAGTGAGGCTCTGGTTAAATGCAGCAGATTAGGCTCTGGATAAATAGTTTCTCCTAAGGGCATACATTGTTACAAACAGAATGCTACTGGCTATCTCTATCCTGTCCCAGAAACAAGATTTTTCTCCAGTATTCACTTTGAGAACTCATGTAGTATCAGTGTCTTGGGAACAACCCTTACTTATATGCTATTGTTAGCATCATTCAGTGCTTTGCAAATATAGCCACATGCTTCTGTGTTTACTATTCTAGCTTTGCTTTCCTCAATGGTAACTTATTTTTTGAGTGGGGGTAGGGTACACATGCATGGGAAGCAAGGAGAGGGTCAGAAGGAGAGGGAGAGGGAATCTTATGCAGCTCCATGCCCAGCACCGATCCCTGTGGGGCTGGATCTCACAACCCTGAGATCATGACCTGAGCTGAAATCAAGAGTTGGATGCCCAACAAACCAAGCTACCCAGGTGCCCCTAACGTTGACTTTTAGAGCTTGAAAGTGGCAGCATAAATTCTGATTATAGAATCATTATATAAAGTGTGTTTATATATTGCAAAGTATGTGGTCTAAGTCACCTAGAGAGTTTTCTTTTCTTTTTTTTTTTTTTTTTGCCAAAAAACTGGCTTCTTAATGGTATTCACATAATATCTTGGATAACATTAGAATGAAAATCACATAATGTATTTAAAGGTGCATTTTCCCTATGTTTTACTGCCTTTCTGTCCCCAAAAGGGCTGTTTCTGCAGCAGTAGAAATTAGAAATTACTAGACTGTATAGTTTGAAGAAGATATAACTGAAAGCTTTTATGACATAACTTTATTATTATTTAAAGAGTAAAAATTCCTCATACCAGTGAAAAGTCTTAGGAATTCTTGTGTTTTCATTACTGGTAGAACTCAAAGAGGAAATTGTAAAAATATTTCAGTTGGTGGCTTAGCTAAGTTTACCAGTTATTGAGTTATTTTAAAACATTAAGCCATGCTTAAGAATTAATTAATTAATTAATTATTGCCATTTTATGTGGCAGAAATACCTAATCTACAAGTGGGGGAAAATCTGTTCTACAACATCTTAATACATAGTATATCTAAAGATACTGTAGATGAAGAAATGTTTTTTCCTTAAGGCTTATTGCTTACCACTAAACTGCTAATATATTTTTGAAGCTTTGGAATCTTCACAATAGGCCCCTAAAGGTCCATTTATTGTGCACTCACTATTCTTCTGTGTTGTGACTTTGTAATCTGAGTTTTTGTTATAAGTCATTAAAAAGATGTATTTTTTAAAAGGTACAGTCATTACTTAGATTCAGTATTAATTTTTAAAAAAGATCTATTTATTAGAGAAAGAAGGAGCATGGGTGGGAGGAGGCGCAGAGGGAAGGAGAGAGAGACTCTCAAGCAGAATCCTCACTGGGTGCAGAGCCCAACTCAGGGTTTGATGTCAGGACCCAGAGATCACAATCTGAGCTGAAATCAAGAGACACTTAATGACTGTGCCATCCAGGCACCCCTCAGTATTAATTTCTAAAGCTCTTAAAAGCAACTTATAAATTCTATTGAATCTTACTCTCAAGATAATCATTTATATGAAATAAGGTATGTGAGATTATTTTGTCTCTAGTGAAATTAAGATGTCAATGAATCAAGTTAAATAATTATTCATCACTTATCTATGTGGCATTAGGGAATAGATACATTTTAGCAAAATGTATGTCCTGCTTTTCATTAAATTTTAAGTTTTCTTTATTGAGATACATTATTTGGTCAACTAGGTTGGTATTTCTTTGGATATATGGTAGTCAAAGGGATATAGCCTTGGGCAGATATAAGAACTGAAGGATGAGTATGTGAGATGATTTGGCAACAGGAGGGAAAGTATTTCAGGCTTTCAAAAACCATAATTTTCAACAGAGCAGATATTTTTAACCTTTAAGTAGGCTAAACTTAAAACTTCAGTATCCAAATACCAACATCATTGCCTTCCTATGAAATATTTCAAGTCCTTAACAGAATGTTGCAGTAAACACTTGTGAATTGATGCTAAAGGTTTCTTCATTTTCTTAACTAAATATGACTCTAAGGATAAGGTTCTTAAAAAGTATTTGAAGGAACAGATGAAGCATCATCGTTGAAGCATCATCTTAACTTTTTGCATAATGAAATCACTCATTGTCTCTGCTGAGAATGCCATTAGAAACATGTATGTGTATGTTAGGGTTGGATTAAGGATCCTTTTCTCACTGGTACTGGGGTTTCCAAGGATTTTTCAAAAATATAATTGTGCTTTAGTGCCATATGTGACTTCCAGGAAATTACTTTGGGTGAGATATTTACCTAATTATACCCAGAAATTAAATCTGCTTTTTGTAGCCATAATTCCGTGTGAATTAACATAAGCTTGGGAAGCAGGTTTTCTTATCCTTCTGTATATGGTGACAAAGCAGGAACAGTAACCTTGATATTAAAAGGATTCTTCATCATGCTCACCTAACCAGATAGGCTAGAAAAGCTAGTGGCAAGGAAGTAGACATATTGCCCTCAATTTGGGTGGTGGATGAGAAGGCTGAGAAACATTTGTCAGTGAAGTAGGTAAAAAATGTTTTCATAGGACAGACTCCTGGAATAGTAATGTCTTATCTTTCTTATAGGTGTGGTATTTGAGAAAACTTTGAAACTTTGGGCGTGGTGGATTTACAATGTTCCAGTGTTCCTTCATTAGTACAGAAACACTTTTGTTATGAATTTCAGATGAAGTCTAATGCATGTTGGTAATGCTTTTTTCTAGAGCTCGTTCCTGAATTTGCTACTTCCTTCCATATGGCTTTTCAAAATCATTAAATTTTTTTTTGTTATAACAGTAGCTTATTTATCCTTTTGGTTTTTGTCATTCAAGCCAGTAATGCAATACTATTTTGGAACTTAGGTGACTGGCAGTTGAACTGGGTGAATGGAGTAGCCAAAGTAGATTAAAATGCCATTCCAGAGACAGACTATGTAGAATAGTCAATGTCTGAATATTTATTATGTCTACATAAGCATTGTTTTTGTATTTGTATAGGATTTATAATGAAATCGATCTTTTCTTTCCTTCCCTTCCTATTCCTTTTTCCGTTAGTGTAAACCAGAATACAAGGTACCTGGACTTTATGTTATTGACTCCATTGTACGACAATCTCGACATCAGTTTGGTCAAGAAAAGGATGTGTTTGCACCCAGATTTAGTAATAACATCATTAGCACTTTCCAGAATTTATATCGTTGCCCTGGGGATGACAAGGTATGCTGCTTTTTTTTTTTTTTAAGTCGATAATGTTACCCTTTGGTCTTAATGAGACAAGATTATCTTAATTATGATTTTATGTTACCCTTTACTCCTTGTAATTCCGAATTTGGATATTTAGTTATTAGACTGTCCACATTCCGAGATTATTAGAATCCTCTTAAACAGAAGTGGAGAGATGTAGTTGACTTGGCTACTTTTTAATTTATTGAAGCAATTGGTGCTATAGTAAGTTTTGGAATAACACTAAAAGCTTATTTATTCTCACACACAACTAATTTGCTGTTTTGATTATTTGACCTGAACTGATATTTACCTATTTAGTGTCTATGAAAATGGATTTGCTAAACAGTTAATAAAAAATAACCAGATTTTTAAAATTCTTTTGTTGTGGTAGAGTTTTATTAGTGCTGGAAACCACACTACTAAGTCTGCTAGATCTGAATGAATAAATATTCTGTACTACATAAAAAGAAGGCTTTGGATCCTGAGAGAGAATAAAAAAGGATTCTTTATGTGTGCTCAAAGGTATTAGAAGTTTACATATTTTGGATGTCATTTGGAGATTTAGTTTACTCTTCTGATAGGGTTGATTGCAATATTAAATGTTTTAAAAGTTACTTAAGGTAAGGACTTGTCTTGAAGTTTGTTATTTGCTTAAAACATAAAGTTAAAATCACCTGTAAATACAGCTTTGGTGCTAAGATGAATCCTGATCACCTCAGCAGCCTTAATACAGTCTCCAGGCAACCATAACCATCGATCTCATTAGGCTCTCACATAGAAGCTGAAACCTAGTTGCTATTCCTATTTTCTGCTAACTGTAGCTTTCATTTACCTTGTACATGTATCAAAACGAACATTTTTTTTCAAATCAGAATTCCAGAAACATGATTTCAGGGGTGGAAAGTACTGTAGAAATATTTTAATCCATCGTTCCCATTCACTATTTGAATAGTCTCTGTGAAATAAATGCTAAATTTTGAAAGCAAAAAAATCAAAATGTCATTTTTCTTTTTTCCTCTAGAGTAAAATAGTGAGAGTATTAAATCTATGGCAGAAGAATAATGTGTTTAAGAGTGAGATTATTCAGCCTCTTTTGGATATGGCAGCAGGGATACCTCCCCCAGTTGTTACACCTGTTTTGGCCAGTACTACTGCAGCTATGAGCAACACCCCAGGTATGTTACTTTGATAGAGATTTGTTTTTTAAATATTCTACTTAAGTCTTTCAGGTGATTATTCATATATAAAGTAATAGTTTGACAGTGCGGGAGAATTATCGAGCATTAGGTAATTGAAAGGAAATGTAATTTGAAGGAACAATAAATTCAATTTATATTTGTGTGGAATGCTTTCCTAAAAATTGAAAAGCTGAAGTTTTAAATCCCTAGAAACCTAAATATAATGAACTTAGGGAAACTGATATGTCACATAGGTTTTTTTCCTGGTTTAGGCTGTCTATAAACTTGCATGTAAAACAATCTTTTTTTTTTTTTTTTAAAGATTTTATTTATTTATTCATGAGAGACACAGAGAGAGAGGGAGAGGCAGAGGGAGAAGCAGGCACCATGCAGGGAGCCCGATGTGGGACTCGATCCTAGGACTCCAGATCACGCCCTGGGCCAAAGGCAGGCGCTCAACTGCTGAGCCACCCAGGCGTCCTGCATGTAAAGCAACTCGTAGTATGGTAGGGGAACAATATTTATAAGGAACCCTGAAAAAATTATTTAATGGAACCAAGAATGCTTCAGTAATAATTTCAAAATCTTGTTTTTTAAAGTATATTTAAATGACATTTTAACATACTATCATAGTTCATGAATCAACATCTGATATATATTTAGTTTTTGTTGTGTGCATCTGTGTCAATACACATATATATCCCTCTTAAACAAAAATAGTTTTTTGTTTTTTTTTAAGATTTTCTCTTTTTAAAGATTTTATTTATTCATGAGAGAGACAGAGAGAGAAAGAGGCAGAGTCATAGGCAGAGGGAGAAGCAGGCTCCATGCAGGGAGCCCGACGTAGGACTCGATCCTGAGACTCCAGGATCAAGCCCTGGGCTGAAGGTGGCGCTAAACTGCTGAGCCACCCAGGGATTCCCCAAAACAAAAATAGTTTTATATTATACCTACTCCTGTAATTTTTTGATTATATTTTGAATATTTCTTCATATCATTGAATTTTCTTCTTTAGTAAGTTTTTTTTTAAGACTTTATTAGAGAGAAAGTACTCTCTAATACTAGTACTAATTCTAGTACTGAAAGCAGGGTCAGCAGCAGAGGGAGATGGAGAAGCGGGGTTCCTGCTAAGCAGGGAGCCTGATTTGGGGCTTGATCCTAGTACTCTGAGATCATGACCTGAGATGATGGCAGACACTTAATAGACTTAGCTACCCAGGCGCCCCTGTAGTAAGATTTTTAGTGACTTCTAAGCATTGTAGGTGCCTTTAAAATAGCAGCTTAGTTAATGAGAACAAGTATAGGCAGATCCTTCTGTTATTTTTTTTCAACTTACCTAATTCTGTAATTAATAAAATATAAACATTTATTTAAGTTTGTATATATTTTTAAAAAGTGACAAAGCAATTCTATCTTTCCAAGTCTTATTTTACTTAAATATTTGTTTGGGTGGGTGTGATGTCTTTTTTAAAAGGAACTCCTGTTACACCTGTTACTCCAGCCAATGTAGTCCAGGGTTTACCGGATCCATGGGTATCTCAGATAACAAACACAGATACACTTGCAGCAGTAGCTCAAATCCTACAAAGTCCTCAAGGCCAACAGGTGAGCATTTATTTTGTTAAATAATAATGATTTAGAACTCATTATTTTCTTTATGTTTTATTTCATAATGTACCACCTAAAGAGTATGTGTTATTTCTGTAAAAATGAGATCACACTATAAGTAGTATTCTGTAACTTGCTTTTAATTTAGTAAGGCATCATTTTATGCACTGTTTTGTAAAAACTTCATTTTATCCCAAAATACTGACTTAGCACATAGTTTGTGCCAAACATTATTAGATGCTATTGTTATTCCAGTAACAAGACAGGTAATTCTCTCTTAGGAAAGATGTCTTTCTGTGTTGAGACAAATACTAAAAAAGTCTAAAACTTTATTTAGGTAGTGATACATGACTTAAAACAGGGTAAATTTTTAGAATGATTGGATTTGGGAGGAGGGGTCAGAATTAGGGTAGCCAAGAGAAGGTATTTTTGAGGAAGTGGTATTTGAAATGAGACTTGAAGTGGAACTAGTTGTGGAAGAGTTTGAAGATAGGCCATTCTTCGCATTTCCTTTTTTTTTACCTGTCCTTTAAAAACCAAATTAATTGTGATCTGTGCAATAAAGCCACCCAGACTCTTCTTCCAAATAATCATGAGGTTTCATGATTAAGTTTTTGTTTAAATATCACTTCAGTGAGGCCTTCAAAACACTATTTAAAACTGTACATTCTTTCATCCCCTCTACTCCCTATATCACCTTTCTTTCTATTACATTATATAATTTTTTTCTCTGTCTCTTCGCACCAGAACGTGTGCTCTACAAGGATAGAATTTTTTTCGTCTATTTTGTTCACTTCTGTGTCTCCAGTGTTAGGTTGTAGCAGATGTTTGGTACATTTTGTAGAATGAGTGAATAGTGTACAGAGTTGTAACAGTGTTGGGTATACAAAGATTTTTTTAGAGTTGAGATGTCTGGGGGATCAGATTGGCCTGTGCGTGTAAGTTCATGATGACAAAGTTAACATGGTAGACCTAAGTGGACTTGGGTTTCAGAAGACAGAAATGGTAGGATGAAAAACAAAGGGTTCATATGCTAAGCAGTGGGGAATTGCCAGAGATTTTTATGTTGAAGTGACTGATATGAACAGTACTTCAGTGGATGGGAGAGGAGGGACACCTAGAGATAGGAAGTATCTTTGTTTTGATAACAATGATAAAAGAAGGGAAGTAATATGTGATAAATAGTAGGGTTGCAGACTCTCTAAATAGAATGACCATCTCAAAAATAAAAGGGACCATTTTAGAGTCTTAAACATGGAAAAACCAATTCAGTTATAGTTCTAGATTTGATCCAGTTTCTCCATTTTGGGGGCAGTTGGGAAACTGAATTGGATACTAGATAAAATTATCAAATTATTTCATTTTGTGATAATATTTTAAAAATAATTCATAAAGCACATGGTCTCATTTAAAATAAACTCATTAAAATAGATACTTTTGGCAGGAAAAGTGATTTTTCCAGAACAGATAGTAGAAGAGAGTTAAGAACACGTAGTAATTGATAGAATGTTAAGTCAGAGTAGAAGGAAAAGTAGGATGCTGCAGTGGTTTGAACCTGACTGAAACAGTAACAGTGCTGTCTGGAAAAATGGAGATGTCAAAAGCAGCAGTTAAAGTGTGTAGAGAAGAAAATACAGTATTAACTCTTTACCCCCTTTTTTCCTCCCCCTCTTCTTCTCCCTCCTTTTTTTTCTCCTTTCCCTCCTCCCACTCCCTCTCTCCCTATCTGTTCTGGAACCTCCTCAGTGTAGTAACTAAGCTGTTACATATTTTGGCATTACTTTCTTTGCTATCACATTAGTAGTTTGTAGCCATTGTTTATTTGGTTGCCAAATGACTCTAGTTTGTTTCTTAATGTAGCTATTTTAGATAGGCATGAAATTACTTACTTTCATCTTGGATGGCTTTTGTACCTTCTCTCACTATAAATTGATCTTTATTTAAAACAGTTCACATGTCTTGTTTCTATTCTAAATTGATAATTTTCAGATTTATACTCCGGTTTGGGTCTTGATTTAGGAAAGTATTAATTATTTCTAAGATGTACATAGGGTTTAACTTAACTATGAAATATCTTCAGGATCTTAGTGTTTGTTGTTTCTGCTTTTTTGAGGATAGACGAATAGAGGGAACAGGGATTTATTTCAACTCCTGTTGGCACTATTCACCTTTAATTTCCTTAGTTTCAGACTGCTCCGAGAGACCCAATTTCTTACTTGTTTTTCTGCTTTCAGGAATTGTGTTGTCCAATGGTCAATCTGAAAGATAGCAAAAGCAGTTGTCAGTGCTTGTTCTTTTACAGAGATTAAGGAGTTAATTGAGGAAGGAATGAAAAGCTTAGTGAAGGGGCACCTGAGTGGCTCAGTCAGTTGAGCCTCCAACTCTAGATTTTGGCCCAGGGTCGTGGGATCAAACCCCATGTGGAGCCCTGCTTTGGGAGCTCTGCTTCAGGTTCCCTGCTTTGTGTTCCATGCTCAGCATGCAGTCTTTTTGGGGCTCTGAGAGGGTGCTCTCCCTCACCCCACCCCCCGCTCACACCCGGACTCTAAATAAAAGAGCTATATGTGATGAGTTCTTTATCTGTCATGGTATGACCACTTTATTTGGCTTAAGTTCTCTGACTTTCTAGAAGCAAGACAAACTTATTAAGGATTATTGTATATGGGACACACGAAAAATATTTTATTAAAAAATTAACTTGTTTTGAGTTAGTATCTTATTTTTTCTTGATCTCCAAAGACTGTACAACAGTGAATGTTATTGAAAAGATGGGCATTCTTACAGATAAATTCTGCATCTGTTTGTAATAATTTCCCTTTTTTCTCCTCTAGCTTCAGCAGTTGATACAGACTTTACAACTACAACAGCAAAAGCCTCAGCCTTCTATTCTGCAGGCCCTGGATGCTGGTCTTGTTGTGCAGTTGCAGGCTCTCACAGCACAGCTTACCGCTGCAGCTGCAGCGGCCAACACCCTGAACCCCTTAGAACAGGGAGTGGCTTTCAACAAGGTAGACATTAAGTAATCAGATCAGTTCTGTATGAAGTATTAAACTCTGTATGCTATCATGTGGATTCTAATTCTGTAAATAGCATTTTATTATAGTATATTCTAGTATACGCTGTACTGTATAATTCATTATGAATTTTACAAAAGGTTTACAGATTTCTGATGGATATGGTAACATTGAGGCAAATGATAATTTTCTGAATTTTCTAATTTCTTTTATGGATGTTACAAATATACTAATTTTGATGTTCTATATTCTAAAATTTAAATCTAAAATTATAATTGTTGAAAATGTGAAAATTCACAGGAAAACTTCTCTCACTGTAATATGATAAATTGAGGCCTATCTATAAAGGATAGTGGTTTTAAAGTTGAAATTTTTTTCATGTATAATTTATTGTATAATAGCCTCAATATTCTTGTTAATTATAAGACAATTAAAATACTTGGAAGTATTACCCATATTTTTGTTTCTGCTACTTTTTTTTTAGGAAAATACTGATTTATTATGTTATTAAGACTTTTTTAGCTGTCAGCCTAATTTAGTCTGAAAATTTAATAGCTACACCACATAGGGGGCACTTAGGTGACTCAGTTAAGCATCGAACTCTTCATCTCAGCTTAGGTCTTGAACTCAGGGTCATGAGTTCAAGCCCCACATTGGGCTCCATGCTGGGCATGGAGCCTACTTAAAAAGCTAAACCGCATAAGAAAAAACTTCAAATTGATCATTTAGAAGACAGTAGAGCATCCTAAGAAGAGAAATGTACTAGGAATAGATCCGTTGATTATAGTCCTAGGTGTTTTTAATCAAGCTTTATTACTATTGGCAAGGCACTTAATTATTTTAATCCCAATCTTCTCTTCTACGAGCATTAATATTTATCCTGTGTTGTGATTTGTTATATAAGACAGTGTATGTCAAAGTACTTTAAAAATAAAGATTCATTCAAATTAAATGCTTTATTATAGCACAACAAAATTATATAAAACATTTATGTATTATGTGATAGAGGTAAATTAATGGGATGTCACTGACATTCAGAATAGCACTTATACCTTATTTTTGTGTAAAGCACTTTTAATCTTTTTCTCCTTTTTTTTTTCCCCCCCCTTTCTCACTTAGAAGTTGATGGATAGGTTTGATTTTGGGGAAGATTCTGAGCATAGCGAAGAACCTAAAAAGGAAATTTCAGCTTCTCAACTGTAAGAATTGTTGTTTTTCTTTATAACCATACGTTTTTCCCATTATTATTATAAACATTGGATGGGACATTGTTTTCTGTGAACTACCAAGTATACTTTGAATAAATTGGAATATAATTTCAGGCTCTTGAGCTCTCACATTACAGAAAGATGGTAGATTTGCTGTCTTGTTGCCTCCGTATTTATTTTGACTAATTTCTCAGATCTTTGCAGTTAATTTGGGATATATCAAAATCCTTTATAGAAGAATTGTAGATACAGTTGTGATATTTTCTATATCTGTATTAGGCTTTAAGTTATTTAATTGTAAGAATATTTGAAATAATGGGAAAGAAGCTTGCTTCTAGTGTCAATGACCAGTTCTAGGAATTTTATCAAATTCTGGGAGTGTATCTGACTCTCAGGATTGGGATTATAGGGGATTTTATTTTTAAAGATATGTATTACATATTTTTATTTAGTGATTTTCTTTTCTTGTGGGTTTGAGAAAGGGCAAGTGGGGAAGAGGATGTTGGAGAGTGGGGGTGTGGAAGGTGGGAGGATGGAGGAAGGATGATGATGATGCCTCTGGGAATGCTATTTCAAGCAGAGGTTATTAATTTTATGTACTGGGATAATATCTTTTAAAATATATTTATGTAATACATAAAAATACATATATATCCTTTTGGTAAAGAGATTTTACTTAAAAAAAAGATTTTACTTGAAAAATTAAAACTTGTATTTTAGATTACAAATTATAAAATTAGAAGAGAAACATTTGAGATCATGTAGATCAGTGTCCTGAACAATTTAAGAATCTTCTTTTAATGGTTCTGATTGGGTATTTTTATAATGTTATAATGCCTTCTATGATGAGAAGTTAAATAATCTTTTATTACTGAATCCTGTTTGATTTACTTGATACACATTTATCCATTTTGCATTCTGAAGCAAGGAAACAAATTTGATCCATTATCTTTTGAGACATAGCCTTTCAATATTTGAAGTTAGGTATCATTCTTCCCCTTAGGTTTATTTGCTCCAGATGAAGTACACTTTTTTTCAACTGTTTCAAGACTTCTCACCATCCTGATTGCCCCTTTTGGGATGCCCTCTTTTTTGTTCATGTCTTACCTTGTGGCACCCAGAATTCCAGGTGTATTCCAGGTGTGAATTTCCCAGAGTTTAGTTAAATTATTATTTCCTCTTATCTAAGTACTGTTTCTGTTAACATACCTAATAATGTGAATGCTTTTCTAAAGAAAGCAGATTAGTTTTATAAAGTTTATGGTCAATTACAATTGTAGATTTCACATGTATTGATTGATAGACCATTTCTCCCACTATTGTATAGAGAAGGAGTTAAAGTGACAATGTTTAAATACTTTAAACTGTTTTTATATATTTAATTGAGATTTTCGTAAAGTGTGCTAATGTAAAAGATACTAATTTATATGTATTTAATAGTGTGAGACCATAATAACAGATCTTCCATCAGAGTATCTTTAACATGTTATCCATCTATTGAAAGACTGTTGAAGAGTATCTTTCTATTTTAACATATTAATGTTCTGAGGTATTCCATTTTCTGTTAATATTTAAAAAGTAAACATTGTAGTAGAGTATGTTTCATTTAATTGGCATGGGGGGTTGAAAAATCAGTTATTTTTATATTACCTTCACTGGGTTTTAAAACATATTTCTACTTGTTTTTCCTTCTAGTTCTCATGTTTCAGAATCTGTGAACAATTCCATTTTTCATCAGATAGCAGAACAACTACAACAGCAAAACCTTGAACATCTCAGACAGCAACTCCTAGAACAACAACAGCCTCAAAAGGTTTATAACTCCATCTTGTGGTCTTTAGAATTACTGCTATCTGCATTCTATAAAATGGTGTTTCTCAAACAGTGATTTTTCTTCAATTTTATTACTAGGAAGATCAGCCTTTTCAGAATGTTTATAGTCTTTTCTGTTATCAGAATGTGTTCTAGGTCTATAGAACCCAGAACACATACACCAGCAGTGGAAGACAGAGATTGTGTTTCAGTATTACAACTTAAAACTTCATGTGCTTTTCTCTCCACTCAATTCCCTGTCAAGCAAGATCATGATGATTTTGCTTTTGTTGATGGTGATGAGGGCAAAATAGATTGCCTTTAATTAGGCTATTACTGTGTGGCAGGAAGTTTACGAGTCATGATTACATTTAATGCTATGAGATATAATTGACTTCTACTGTGTCTTAGTGGAATTAAATATCCATTGCAAAACCGTAAAGCTAATATATCATTAGTCTTAAGACATACTGTTATTTTATGTGTAGCTAAGAATTTTTAATCACTTCAAAAGTACAATATCTCATAGAGTTAAAAAAAATATCATAAATTACAGAGATGATATGTGAAGAATCAGACCTCAGAATTGATAAAACATGTCAAGTTGCAAAGGCAGGGTTAATCCATTATGAAGCCTATTTTTACTTCACATGAGAAATACTTATAGGTGTAAACTGTTTAGAATATCAGTGTTTTCAAATGCCCCACAATCATACTTATTCCTAATATCCAAAATTTTTTGGCACTAAAATAATGCTACAAATATTTTTTTTTAAGTATGAGCAATGTATTGTTAGACAAAAGATATATACAGAGATGAACAAAAAAGCATCTGGCCCTCAAGTAACTTTTTCTCTAATAGAGCACGTATATTTGTATGGACACAGGGCAGAATTCTAGTTTCAATTATAGAGGTACAAGTGAACGATAGTGGAAATAAGAGAGAAGAGTTACTTTAGATTTAAGGAATAGAAAACCTTAGATACTGCTGGGATCTGAACTTTTCCTTTTAAATCAAATAGTAATCATAAAGTGGACATTAATGGTATTTGCTAGGTTGGAACTTATACCTGGAATTAGGAGAATGGGATTCTATATCTTCTTATAAAGAAACATTCTGGTAGAAGTGGTTAGAGTAGGTGTAGTATTTTATGTTTTGCAGGTATATCTGCCTGAGAATTCAGGAGCTTTAAAGAAAGAACATGATGTAGAATATTTGGATGTTGTTTAAAGAAAAACACAAGTTGTAAATCAGTGAAAAGAAACCGGTTGTCAGTGATGTTATAAAAAATTCGAGAGTTGTTATAGAGGCAAGGGGTAGTCATGATGGAAGAGTCTATGCAAACAAGATTTGTCCAGCTGTAAAGGTAGCAGTTTTGATTGTCCTTGTTCCAGTTTCCTTTCAGAAGGTTTAGCAGGAGCAGTAAAGTCACAGTGTAGTACTCTTAAAATTAGCACCAACTTATTGAAGTGAAAATTCCTAGAAACTTGAGAGAAGATTATTCTTTTTTCTTTTCTTTTTATTTAAATTCAATTAGCCACACTAGTGCATCATTAGTTTCAGGTATAGAGTTCAGTAATTCCTCAGTTGCATATAACACCCAGTGCTTAGCACAGAATGCATGCACCCTCCTTAATGTCCCATCATCTAGTTACCCCATTCCCCCACCCACTATCCCTCCAGCAACCTTTCTTTCCCATAGTTAAAAGAGTTTCTCATGTTTTGCCTCCCTCTCTGATTTCTTCCCTGCTTTCCAGGTTTATTCTGTCTTAAGAATCTCACCAACCAAAGAAAAATAGAGCTCTGGGCTTAGTTAATACATTATCTCCAAAATTTTAAAGGATACAGTAATTAGATCCTTTTGAAAGAATTAGATGTTCTTAAAAGCTTTTGTTCAAACCTGAGTGTTGAAGAAAGAGAATGATGAAAACTTTTCTAATACCTCAAGTAGATAGTGTTCAAAACCTATGACAAATTTCAAATTGGAAACTGTGTATCAGCAGAGTAACCATTAAGTTTAATAAGTTGTATAATTGGCTCTTCCAACCCAGTTGCCTTAGTTTGTATAAGACAGGTGAGATATGCAGAAAAATGAAGCATTTTTGTTTATCAGTGAACTCATTATGGCTGCCTAAAAGTCCTTAACAGTGTCTTAGAGAAAGGAATCTGATTGCTGGTGCCACCCTACTCATTGCAGCCCTAACCTGCATGTCAGTTGATATCTAGTATCCCTAACAATAGAAAACCTCTGTAAACAGAGCACTTCTGAGGAGCATTTCTCACGATCTGTCATATGTAACTTACTTTGATTCGTTTTTCTTTATGTCGGAGAATATAATGGAAAGAGTAGAATTGAGCATGATAAAACCTAAGATGGGTGGGTGTTAAGAGCCCTTGAGTTGCTTTAAGTGATTTGATGTCTAGGCTCATATAAATTGCGTTTCATGGTACTGAACTTGTAAGATTATAGCATAGCATGTGTGGATTTTAATAAAGCTTTTGACAAAGTGTTTCTTGTCACTTATACAGAAAAAAGGGAGGAACATGGATCTATAACTGATAAAAATGTGACACTTAATGAGTGTTAATCCAACTTTGAAAGAAGTTTCTGCTAGCTACTGTTATCTTTGTCTTTTATTTTTTCAGTATTGATGGTTGACATGAGGACATCATTGAAGAAATTAGAGGTGTATACCAGGACATGTACTAAGGATGTATACCAGTGTATCAGAAAAATAGTCATTTGCCACCTGGGTCCAATGGATCCTTTTAAAATGTGTTTGAAATAAAAAAAAAATGTATTTGAATTCATCTCACAGATTGTTTATACAAGTGAGACTAAAAGGAGTAGGGGAAAAAAACTTTATGAACTATTTTAATATACATAATTGAAATGTAGCAAACCTTTTTGTGTCAATGAAATTCAAATGACACATGTTCTTCTAGCAAAATAGAATAGTCCAGGTTCTTGTTACAAAATACTGCAAGATAAAGTCCTTCCTATTAAGTGTCTGAGTGGATGGAAAGACCCTGTTTTTGTCCTTAAAGACACATTTTTCTGCCATCAGTTTGGGAGTTTGAAAAATACATTTAGGGTATGGTCATCTGAAAACTCATAGTCTGATATTTCATTGAGATATAAATTTCACCATCATCATTAGAGTCTAAATGCTGCTCTTTGTATTCATGTTCTATTTTGTCTAATAATTATGAAATATGTTCTTCTGTCAGCTTTCTTCTCTTTGCCATTATGTACAGAAATGGAGAAATCTAAATATTCAACTACATATCAGGGAAAGCTTGAAAGTATACTACAAAGATAGTGTCTCCAATCTCATTTTAATCTTGAAATACACAGTATTTTTTGTAATGCAGTAAAACTGGATGATGATGATTCTATTTCACTATTCAATCACCCTTCTTGACAATTATATTGCTTTTTCTTTTTTGTATTATTTTAGTCTTTCTTGAAATAATTGGGAATAATTGATAATAACAGAATAATTCTTAGGATGATGAAATAGCAAAATGTTTCAACATATAGGATAGTAAGATCTCTAAGATCCTGTAACATATCTTAGATACAGGGAAGGGTCCAGTGGACCTATCGCTAATTGCAAGATAATAGGATAAGTTTTAGTTGAATTTTTATTTTCAGTTTTTAAATATTTTCAGTTTTTAAATATTTATTTGAGAGAGAGTGTATGTGCCTGATTGCACAGGGTTGCAGGGAGGAGCAGAGGGAGAGGAAGAGAAAGTCCTAAGCAGACTCTGCTTGCATGGAGCCCAACATGGGGCTCATCTCACAACCCTGAGATTATGACCTGCGCAGAAATGCATGAGTCAGATGCGTAACCAACTGCACCACCCCTGCACCCCTTAGTTGAAATTTTAAAGTACATTTTCTCTTACTTCTTCATAAGACCTCTAAGAAAGAATAAAGGTCGTGAAATTACAGTCTTTTCAGATGGGTAAAACTCCAACAAAAGACTCAAAAACTAAAATTACAGTGGATCCTGGTGGTTATACCAAGAGTTAACCATTAAATAGAAAAATAAGGTTCAAAAACAAGGGTGAAAGGAATACGAAGCTTAAGATAAATGGAAAAGTAGGAAAAATATTATGTGAAGCATATATGCATACTGAATTAGGACCAAATAGATTCAGGATGGAGCTGAAAATTCCCTTTCTGTGTTAAGAATGCTATTGTTAGTCTGTTTTAAAGACATAAGCCACAAAGGACTATGCTTAAAATGTGTTTGATTTGTTTGGGAAGAACATGCTTGCTCACTGATGTTTTGGCCAGTACCGTGGTATGTAGTAGGTGTCTCAAAGAGGTCTTTTCTACTATAGCTCTAATTCATTTCTAAACCTTGAAAATGTTACTCGTTCTTAGAGAACCTGTTCCTTCATAAAGTAAGAGACTTGGAACAGTTCTTTAAATGCCCTTTTGGCTCTTAATTTTTATGCCTTTTCTTTCAGATTAGATGTCATTAGAGTAAGGATTTTTTTTAAAATGTTGCTGAAGTATAATTAATATAGTAAGTTTAAAGTGTACAAAATCATGATTTGATACATTTATGTATTGCAGTAATCTAACACTTTGATCATGTCATAAAACTATCATTTTTTTGTGGTGGGAATAGTTAAGATCTAGTCTCATAGCAACTTTGATCTTTATAATTGTTACCTGTAGTCATGATGCTGGTATCCCTTTTATAGATAGGGAGACCAAATTTCACAATTCAGTAATTTTTCCACAATCACAAAATTTGTAGCAGAAATAGTATTTTTGAGTTACTCTTCTCTGTTAATTATTACAGTAGCTCCCAGCTTTTATACTACCAGGAACTATTTTTATTAATCTTTAACATATACAAAGATGTTTTAGGAAAGTTTGTATAGGGAGACTTTTTCATAATTAATTTTCTTATTTTTATTTATCATAATATTTGCAGTTAAATAAGGTTCATATTAATAAGTATCACGTAAGTAGTGTCACTATATCAAGTTACTGTAAATCTGATCCCAGCAAAAAAAGAGGAGGGGAGATTCAAATTTCAAACAATGCTTCAGTTAGTCTTCATTACCTAACTTTTATCAGTTTTTGAAAAGTATTACATACCCCAGAGTAACTTCCTAATATTTGCAGATGCCTAGAGGTGGAGGTTGAGGAAGCCCAAATTGAGAATTGTTTTGCTAGATCATTTAATTTGATAGTGGTATTTGAGCTTTGTTTTGCCTCTATACATGTAATGTATGACTTAGTTCTTTAATATAAAACATTTTTATATTGAAAATATTATAGCATTTAATTTATAGCATTTGATAAAAAATGCTACTTGCCATTAAATTCTAGATTCATTTAACTGAGTGCCATTATATATCATTTATGACGCAGTCCTTTATTTGTAAAGGTACAGTGTTTATATTTTCCAAATTAGAAATTTGAAGACCTTCTTGATCTTACCGTTCTAAGATAGTCTTCTCTCCCTTTTATGTAGATATTCCATGCTCTTAAGTATAAAACTTGGATTTGTACAAAAGTATTTTAGGTGATTACATAAACAATTTAACGTGGGATTTCTATATGTGTTTGACTTCTTTTTAAAACTTTGTGATGTTTACATGTTTAAATTCTGTTGTAATAATATGCATGGTTTCTTAATAATGTTTGTGTGTTTGTATACATTCTCAACAGGCAACCCCTCAGGATAGTCAAGAGGGAACATTTGGATCAGAGCATTCCGCATCACCCTCACAAGGGAGCAGTCAACAGCATTTCCTTGAACCTGAAGCAAATTTGGATGATTCTATAGATATTCAACAACAGGTAAAAAGTAAATGTTTTTCTGGGTCATAAATTTCTAAAATTAAAGAAAAATATATAATCATTTTATTTTATGTAAAATATGTTATTTTTATGTGAAGTAATGGTAATTTCTTGTATATTTTTTCTTCACGCTTAAGCTCTATACTAATAACCATTTTACTGTTAGGCATTAATGCTACTATAGTGAATATTTTGTAAGGCAGAATTGCCGGTATATACTGAATCTCAATCAGGCATTTTGTTTGCTGTACTTTTGGCTTTCAAGGATATGGATATAGATGAAGGACAAGATGGAGTAGAAGAGGAGATCTTTGAACAGGAAGCAAAGAAAGTGGCTGTTCGCTCAAGATCAAGAACACATTCACGATCTCGTTCAAGGTTCTACAATAATATTTAAGAGTAGCTGTGTGTGAACTTTTAAAAGTTGGTTCTGTTTCTTTGTATCAGGATGAAAGGAAATGTTTTTCTTAGAATGACATCTTACATTCTCCGGAGAGAAGAAATTCAGAATCTCAAAAATAGAAAAATGCCTTGTTCTCTTTTGAATTGGATATATCTGTGGCCATTTATTTGAATAATACACATTAATTGCAGTCATATCGTATAATCCCATGAATTTGGGATTATACATGATTTTAGTTAATATGATTACACTCAGGATATTATTGCCTCTGAAAACTGCTAAATCAAGCTATAGAGAAAGTGTTAGAAATTCCATTAATAAAAAAAGAAATTCCATTAATTTCTTACTTTGTTTTCATCTTATAATAATACCAAAAATGATCATAAAAATAAAATTATAAGAATTGTTACAGACATTAAGCATAGTATCAAATTATTATAAAGTGTATTCTCTGGTTTTCTTTGTGGGCTTTTCAGCATGGCTGAATCTCATTATATACTTATTCAAATTTGAGTTGAAGTTTCCTTAACCTGGTAATTCTAATGTACTTTATATACATTGTTTTTGCTATAAATTGTATTAAAACTTTAAGTCCTTAGTCTTTAATATTAATATACCCTATTTTCTGCACATGAATACCCCTAAAAATCAGAGCATTGTATGCTAGAAGAGGGGCAGTATCTTTGATGACCTTTCAGTCATTACTTGTTTCAAGAAGTTCTTTGTATTTACCTCTTGTAAACAAGAGCCTGTGAGTTCAGCTCTCTAAACCCATCTCATGTCAATGAGTAATCTTGCTAATAAAGCAATTACAGTATTAGAGCTGAAATCTTAGCAGCTTCTTTGTCTTAACACCTTATTAAGCATTTTGAAGCAGTGCAGTAGCATATGGTTGACAGAAAAAAAAAAAGCAATGTTTCAGTATTATCTTATATTTAAAGATTAGGCACTTTGAAAATTTTAAAAGCACCTTGAAATTTTAGAAGTTGAAAACTTAGGAGAATTCTTCAGTAGCTTAATGGCTCTGTTGGAAACATTCTCTATTTCCAAATTTTAAGATTACAGTATCTTTATCATCTAAGGATCTTTTTATTTTCCTTAGTCTTTCATTCCTATTCTTGACTATTGTTGGAAAATGAGTTGCAAGACACTAAAGAAAGCAAGCAAGGCCTTTACTGGATAGAATCTCATTCTCCTTGGTCTTAGTAAGAATCATTGTGGGCCTGAGCAGTACAGAGATTTGTCAAAATGCATGTTTGATACTTCATTCTACTTAAACATTTTTTAAGAGGTAGCTAAATATAAGACAACCTTTTGTGTGTGTGTGTGTGTGTGTGTGTGTGTGTGTGTGTGTTCCCTCACCTAGAAGTGAGAAATTTGAACAGAAGAATAATATTGTTGTTAGAAGTAAAATAAGATTTTTTTGTAGATCACCAAGAAAACGAAGGTCTCGGTCACGATCTGGTTCTCGAAAGCGTAAACACAGAAAGCGATCACGCTCACGCTCAAGAGAAAGAAAGAGGAAATCATCACGTTCATACTCAAGTGAAAGGAGAGCAAGAGAAAGGGAGAAAGAACGACAGAAGAAGGGATTACCTCCAATTAGATCTAAAACATTAAGTGGTAAGTGACATATTTTTACAGAGCTTTGGTTTCAACAAATAGTAAGAAAATCATTAATTGCTAAAGTCAACTATATTTTTAGATTAAGAAATTGGAAAGTAATTTGGTGAGTAATTTTATCCTTGATTTTTGTAAAGTGAGAGAAAAGGAAAGGGAAGAGCATGTTTTATTAAAACACTAAGATCGCTGAGAGTTGTTTCTTTTTAATGCAAATTAGAAAATACAGAACTTGACCAATAATTTATAAAGTGGGCTAGGCCTAATGTCTTCTTAACACTGTGATTTCTAGTCATAGTGTTATAACCAATCAAGTCTGACCACCAGGTCTGGGGAGTAATTATTAAAAGAAGCATGTAGTGCAGCCCTGGTGGCTCAGCGGTTTAGCGCCACCTTCAGCCCAATGCCTGATCCTGGAGACCTGGGATCGAGTACCACATCTGGCTCCCTGCATGGAGCCTGCTTCTCCCTCTGCCTCTCTCTCTGTTATCTCATGAATAAAAAAATAGAATCTTTAAAAAAAAAAACCTGTAAATTTTAAAGCTAATTATAAACTTACTGGATCAGCACCAAGGGAGAGATTCCCATTGTACAAACTTTCCCTCCTTTATATGTTAATATGTAATGTATAATTAGAACAAATTTGGTAGTGGTGAGAGTTTGAGGAGAGTTCACTTGGTAGAAATGTGAGTTATAATTAGTGCCAGATTCTTCCTGAAGGATTCCTACTGCGTTAGGATTTTTAAAATGAACAGGCTGCAGATGGGTAAAGTACATAAAATGGAGTAATTTTCATTCTTTGCCAAGAGCTGAACACCAATCAGGTTGTCTGATTTCTGAAGGTCTCCAAATAAATTCTTTCTGCCATGGAGATAGATAAATAATTGGTATATAACTTATACTGCTGAGTCATCCTGGAAATCCAGTCTTATATTTAAAGGCAACATCCAACTTATTACTAAGTTCTGGCAATTTCAGCAGTCTGTAGCTATCTTGCCAGAATCTTACCTGATTATGAGAACCAGTGTTAATTCAGTAATGTTGATATTCCTAACTCTGAAAATTTCTGTTTATCCCCTCAGGGTCAAAGACCAAATTCAAACATTTTAGTGCTATTTGATAAATAACATCAAAGGTCTGACCATAAATTATCTGCTGTGCATCCCCTCCCATGATTATTGTTAGGACATTCAGAATCACCAGTTTTAGCATAGAGCTTTTATGGAGTCTTTTCCATTAGTTCCTCACTTTACTTGTCATATTATAGCTGCCACCATTTATGTAGTTACTGACCATGGAATGTATTTCTTATTGCTATGGTTTTTGTTCACAAGTAAAAGCGTAAAAAAGAAAATTCAGAAAGCACATAGGAAAATAGAGTGAAAAGTGTATCTCTCATTTTTTTACCTCAAAACTTTCTTACTCCAAAACAGTATCAATTTCATGTGGCCGCAACACATTTTAAACACATACAGTAGTATGTCCCTACCATTGGTCCTTTGAACACAAGAGTATTCATGAATAGTTCAGTGGATATGAAACATCAACAAGCAGTAATATTCTAGGAATCAGTGTCCTCTCCTTATGGGATGGGGGAGAGTCATTATTGTTTTCTAGGTTTAAAAAAAGTCTGTGGGAAAAATTTGTAGAGTGACTACCTTGAAAAACAATAGAGGAAACATGGGATGTATTTCAGGAAGATTAAAGCAGCTGTGATGTATTAGAGTAATGAAGCGATGGGAACTATTCTGTGAAAGAGGTCTAGAAATTTGCTGAGGGTTTGTGATAGGTTGAATAATAGTCCTTCAAAGATGTTCATAGCCAAATTATTGGAACTTGTATCTATGTTACCTCACGTGGTATGATCGATCAGGGGTGGAAAGATTTAACTTGAGTTATCTAGAAGGGCTCGGTGTAATCCACGGGTCCTTATAAGAGGAAAACAAGAAGGTCAGAGAGAAAAGGTGATGTGTGGATGGAAGGAGAAAGACTCCACTTGGCTTTGAAGATGGAAGTCGGGATCATGAGTCAAGGAATGCAGACAATTTGTCAAGGAAACAAATTCTCCCCTAGGGTGTCCAGAAAGAATGTAGGCTTTTGTTGACCCATTTTAGACCTTCACAACTTTAAGAGAATACATTTTTGTATTTGAAGCTATTCATTGGAGGTATTTTTGTTACAGCAAGAGCGTAAAACGAATATATTGCTTCTTGAGACTTCAGTTGAATATTAAGTTATGTGTACGTAGGGTGAGATTCTGTGAGGCAAAGAACAAATAGGGTCAGAACATTACCAGAGAATCTGTTAGCTGTTAGCTGAATGATTCCTAAAAGCTAGCACAGGTCTGGAAGACCTTAGAGTTCAAACCAGGTAGAATAGAGACCTGGTTGAAAACCTTCGTTTAGTAGAGCTCTTGTAATAGTTGCTAGTGTTGGGCTAAATTAGCTCTAGAGTAAAACCTGCTTTAGGTTTACCCCATAATAGATAAAAGATCATCCATCTAAAGACTGGAAACTTTGTCTTTAAAAATGACAGTAATGTAAATCTAAATATTAGATCAAATATATCAGCTGTTGTAAATCTTTCACAAGTATTTTCAGGAAAAGGAAATTTTCATGGAAGCATGAATGGTACAGCTTAAAGTAGGCAGGATCTTATGTGTAGCTCTGTTTCTTAAAAAGAAGTGCTTCCCACAGTTTAAATATCTTTTAAGTTTTTCATAACAAGTTAATTCAGCCTTTTCCCCATTTGTATCTCTGTACAAATTATTTCCTTAAGGATAAGGTGCTGTTTTTAGATTTAACAGTTGGTAGGAAGAAACATTGACTTAATCATTCCAGCACAGAAAGATTAAAGGTGAAAGGTAGGATTGCAGTGAAGTGTTTTTGTGACCTTGTTGCATATTAGAATTACCTACAGAATTTTAAAACTCCCAAGTCTCAGTCTATCATACCCCATAACCCTTCATCTTTTAGAGTAAGACCCAGGTATCCATGAATGATTAAAATGTTCATCCAGGCTTGAAAACACATAATAGATGTGGATGGGTACCTGGAATTTTAGTTCATTTTAAGCATAACAGATAAAAATGGCATTAAGTTTTTTAAATATCTGTCTTAAATTTTATTATTGTTAATAGTGCTTTTTCTTCAGCTGCTTGAAAGAAGTAGCTGTGTCTGTGTGATTTAGGTCATTTGTCTTTTATGTCTTAACAGTATGTAGTACTACTTTGTGGGTTGGTCAGGTGGATAAGAAGGCAACTCAGCAAGATTTAACCAATCTGTTTGAAGAGTTTGGACAAATTGAATCCATTAATGTAAGTATCCCTTCTTATATAAGAGTTTAAGGTTAACAATAATATATAGAGGATTTTCACTTATACAAAAGAATCACTTTGGTTCCTAATTAGCCCCCACAGTATCTGCCTTTAATAACTCACATCTTTATAAGGATTATTTGATTTTAATCATTTGTGTTTATTTCTGCTGCTATTTATCTCCCTAATTAATTTTTCTTTTTTAATGGAATTCTAACAAAATGTTCTTAAGGCTTTTGTTGCGGTGTAGTTGACCCTTGGTTCCTTAAGTCATGAAATGTTTGGGTTAGTAGGAACCCTATCTGTGACCTAATTTAATTCCATCCCCTCCCTTTTTTTTTATAATGAAAATGAGGAAACTGAGTCCCACAGAATTGTAGTCACCTCCATGGAGCACTTAGGTGGTAGTGGAGACCCAATTGGACTTGGGATCCCAGTCTTTTACAAGCATCCTCCCTCATCTCCCCATCTCTCCCTCTCAAAGCAAACCTGAGGCAGGAAAACCTATGTGGGCACAGCACCCCAAGTAATGTGAAACAACTGGCACTCCTCAACTTGATTTTTTTTCAGTACTTTTTGCTCCACCTAGTCTCTTTCTTTGGATATTTTCTTCTTCCCAAAGATCTGCCGTTTTTCCTTGGGGCTAATACTAAGTAATGGAATGTTTTATAGCAATTTATTTGTTTGAGGAGCCTTCTAATTCGTTAGCTCTCTGATTTTATTCACTGTTATTATACTTCTATGTCTGTTAGACCTTTTATCATTATTTACCGGGAAATTGGCTGATTTTCCTTTCTAGTCTTAGATCCTAACATTCCTTAAATGACTAAACTTGGCTTTTCCTTATGAAAGCACTCTTCATATGAAATGTTTGAGCATTTCGTATACTACTTTCAACTATATATGATCTCATTGGAACCTCACAAGAAGCTGGTTAAGTAATTCCCATTGTTTATTTTATCAGTGAGGAGACTAAGTGATTTGCCTGAGTTGTACAGACAGTAAATAGATGATTGGTTGAGGGTTTCAATTTAGAGTCCTGTTTCTTTTTCTACACTGTGAATGTTTTAGGCTTTTCTTATTACTCTCTTTTCTTTTTAAATTTCACCTATCAAAACATAACTGTCTGCTGGAGTCCTTAATCATATAACCTCTAATTTTTTTTTTAACATTTTATTTGTTTGAGAGAGCAGGGGGAGGGGGGAAGGGAAAGAAGGAGAGAGAAGCAGACTCCTGCTGAGCAGGGATCCCTATGCAGGGTTTGTTCCTGGGACTCCAGGGTCTTGATGTCAGCCAAAGGTAGAAGCTTAACTGACTGAGGCACCTACACACCCCTAACCTCTGGATTTTTTTTTTAGTTTTCTTCTAGCTGCCGTGTCAGAAATGTGTTGATATTTGAAAGAATAGGGATGCCCAATACCCCTAGATTCTTATCAGAATGCCACAATTTATAAGGTGATTCTAATGCAAAGTCAGGAATCATTGCTCAGAATGGATCCTGAATCCAAGTAGCATTTGGATTGTCATTACTTGTGACATTTGTAGTCTTGCTTGTTCCGTAATCATTTGGGCATTAGTTTGCCTTATCTTCTTCCCTCTTGTGTATTAACATTTAGGAGCGTCGTACTTATGAATTATAGGCACTGAGTAATTTTGTGAATTGAAGTGTATTGAATGGCTAGTGATAAAATCTAGGATTTGAAAATTTGATGGAAAATTTATAAACTTTTCACTTAGTCTTGGGGGAGTTTGAGGACTGAGTAAAAAAAAGTGTTCGATTTAGCACTTAGTAGGTCATTAATGAGCTTGAAGAAAAATTTTCAGTGCATTGATAGAGTTAGGCCTATCTTGCAAAAGAGGAAGGAAGTTTGTAAGGGGTTTAGATAGATTTCTTTTTTGAGAAGTTTGGTATTAAGTTTAGAAAGTAGCTCGAAGTGAACTCAGTGAAAGTAAAAAACACTAAGTCTGTTTTCTTTTTCTTGTGTTAAAACTTTTGTCCAGAAGCACTTGGACAAAATTAAGTTTTATACAACTGACAAGTTTTACCATTTGTTTTAAATTGTAGATCTTATATTAAGGATAAGATACTTCTCCCAAACAAAAAAATCTTTCCAGTATGCCACTTGGAAATACTGAAATACTTTCAATTTTTGAATATTGTATGCTTTCAAATATGTTGGTCATACAATACTGTTTTCTTTTTATCTGGTGGTATCATTTACATGTCTTTTTACTTTTTTTTTTGTTTTAGGAATACTTTGATTGACATCTGATACTCAAGATTTTGTTCATGTTATGACTTAGAGTGAGATCCAACTAGGTTTTTTTAATTCTTTTAAAATTAAGTAGTTATTTGTACATGGATTATTCCAACAAGCAGCCAAAGGAAGAGAAGGGAAAAACTATTGTCTTAGTAGTCAGTGATCTGTTTCATTAAACCATAAATGTCAGAATGAATACCTTATTTTTACCCTTTCTAAAGAAAAAAATTTTTTTAATAGATGATTCCTCCCAGGGGCTGTGCTTACGTCTGCATGGTTCATCGACAAGATGCTTTTCGGGCTCTTCAGAAACTTAGTTCCGGATCATATAAAATTGGGTCCAAGGTCATTAAGGTGAGATTGGAGGGGAGGAATCCATGCTCTTGTTTTATTGGATTATTAAAATGTTCCTATAATTCATTCATCATCTTTTTTAATGTTATGGAAAAACTTCTAGAAAAGTTTATTATTTCAGTATTGTTGAGTTTTCTTTCTTTCTTTTTTCTTTCTTTCTTTTTTTTTTTTTTTTGAGGAGTTTTTATTTTTAAGTAATCACTCAACGTGGGACTCAAACCTATAACCCTGAGATCAAAAGTCACACGATTCACCAACTGAGCCAACCAGACACCCCAGCAATTTTATCTTTCATTCACTTCTAACTCCCAATGCTTCCTATTCATACCTCTTAATTATATAATTATTATTTTCTCCTTTTTAACATCTTGTATTACACAAGCAAGGCCACTGTGAAGGGTTTATTAATAAGTATATTTTGTTTTCCTCTTAAACTGAGTGTTTATTATGTATTTTTTCATTTTTACTCCATGTGACTAAATTTACATTTTATTTCTGCTACTTGAAGAAATTTATTCCATCAGTTTCTGTAACTGAGTTAAAAACTTAAAAATTGGGCAGCCCTGGTGGCTCAGCGGTTTAGCGCCACCTTCACCCCGGGCATGATCCTGGAGACCCAGGATCTGAGTCTCACGTTGGGCTCCCTGCGTGGAGCCTGCTCCTCCCTCGGCCTGTGTCTCTGTCTCTCTGTCTCTCTGTCTCTCTGTCTCTCTCTCTCTCTCTCTCTGTCTCTCATGAATAAATAAATAAAATCTTAAAAAAAAAAACTTAAAAATTACTTTCAAGGTTTATATGTATGTGCTTTGTCATCTCATGGCAGAAAGCTTCCTCTGTGTAAAGTGTCTTCTGGACTACCAAGGATTTGTTTAAATTATGATAACTGTTCTAATTATTGCTAATGTAATTATTATTATCTAATTATTGCTCTCACATTTTTATGGTGAAAAGTAGATTTGGATTGTTTCTGGAAATGTGCTTGGGTTTTTTTTGTTTGTTTGTTTTAGTAAGAACTGGAAATAAATCCTGTGGTATAAATGCCATTGCTGTCTAATGCAGGCTTTATTTTAAAAACAAAACAAAAAGAAGAAAATACATAGAAAAACTTCTTGGCTGCTATTCTTTTTCTTTTTTTTTTTTTTTAACACTTTATTTATTCATAAGAGACACGGAGAGAGAGAGAGGCAAAGACGTAGGCAGAGGGAGCAGCAGGCTCCATGCAGGGAGTCCAATGTGTGGGACTCAATCCTGGGACTCCAGGATCATGCCCTGAGCCAAAGGCAGGTGCTCAACTGCTGGGCCACCCAGGCGTCCCTACTATTTTTCTAGCATTCAGTTGCTTGTCCAACTACTTTTCTTTATGTTTACATTGTTTACGTATAATTTTTAGCATACAGTTGCTTGTCCAGCTTCTTTTCTTTATGTGTTTACATTGTTTACAATATAATTTTGAGCGTTTTCCTTGTTTTCACAGTATAGCTGAGCTTTTTTTTCCCTCTTCATTCCTGATAGATTGCTTGGGCTTTAAACAAAGGTGTAAAAACAGAATATAAACAATTCTGGGATGTGGATCTTGGAGTTACATATATACCGTGGGAAAAAGTTAAAGTGGATGATTTGGAAGGTTTTGCAGAAGGAGGCATGATTGACCAGGAAACTGTAAATACTGGTAAGAACACTAAGGGTAGTTTTGTTTAAAAAAGTATGCTTAAAAGATTGTAATTGATAAGAGTTGCGCATGATAAGGTGAGTTGTACTTATTTTATTTCCTGGATTCCACCCCCCAGAAAGAGAAAAAAACTGAAGCACTGCTATTTCCAGATTACATGCTTAATGTGTCTTATTTCCTAAGTGTCACAATATATAGTATTTAGAAGTCTGTTAATGTAGCATTTTTCCTTTTATTTATTTAATTAATTAATTAATTTATTTATTTAGATTTTATTTATTCGTGAGACAGAGAGAGAGAGAGAGGCAAAGACACAGGCAGAGGGAGAAGCAGGCTCCATGCAGGGAGCCTGACGTGGGACTTGATCCCCTGTCTTCAGGATCACGCCCTGGGCTGAAGGTGGTGTTAAACTGCTGAGCCACCCGCCTGGGGTACCCCCTTGTATGTTTTTTAAAACAAGTTTTACTCCTTTAGAAAAAGTTGTATATGTGGAGGTTCAGTTACTTGAATTTAAATAATAACTAGGGACTTAAGTTTCTTTGAAGAACTTCCTTGATTATTTTGATTAGTATCCATGTTGAGAATGGCAGGAATAGAATCTAGAGAGCTATAGTTCCTATTCACGCAATTCTAGAATGCTTATAACCAAATGATCTTAGGTTGATAAATTATAAGAAGAGAAAGGGAAAAGGGAGAGAGATTGGCAGTATGGGTGTGGAGCTATTACAGTTTTACAAGAAAAAAATCTAATGGAGAGAATAATATTTAAAGGAGTGAGAAGTGCAGCTATCTGGAGAAAGAGCATTCTATGCAGAGGAATAGTATGTGCCAAGTCTATTCAAAAATTGTGAGACCAGTGTGGTTTGAGCAAAGTTAGTGAGGAATGAGTTGTTGAAGATAAAAGTCAGAGATATGTACAGAGTCATATAAAGTCTTGTTTAGTCATTATAATGACTTTGATCTTCACTCTGAGAGAGATGGAAAACCATTGGAGGAACCTTTAGAGCTTCTTTTATTTTTGCATAGCTGTGTTTTCAGAAAGATATTTCTTTGTTGAGTTAATAACCTTCCTTGTCGGTCTCCCTTTGTACTTTGGGACATAATATAGAATAAGATTGGATCTTCTTATATCAGATAGCTTTTGAGATGTATATCTATTCTATCCTCCTAATTGTTTCCTCTAAATATTTTAGTATCTTTCATTTTTGTCTCGCTTCATGCTTCTTTGGACTCCTTGGTTTCTTATCAGACTTAACTGGGCAAAGCCTAGCTTGGCATCTGTAGTTGTGGACACATCTTAAAGATGTGCCAAGGTAGATGAATAGATGAAGGATGTAGAGATGAAGTAAACATATACATAGAAATAAAACTTTTGCAGCCATCCAGAGGAAATCAATTTCAAATATTTTGTTTAGAGTGGGAAACTGTGAAAAGCTCGGAACCTGTTAAAGAGACAGTCCAGACAACTCAGAGCCCAACTCCAGTTGAAAAGGAGACAGTGGTCACAACCCAGGCAGAGGTTTTTCCTCCACCTGTTGCCATGTTACAGGTTAGTAGTGGATGTTTTGTTATTGTTAACATGTTGTCTTACATTTCTGTTTTCACTCATGTATTTACTTCATAAAGCTTGGAGGAAAAATAATTGAAAATAGAATAAATACAAGTTTAGTCCAATAATTTTGGAGAAAAAACTATTTTTTAAGAAATGGTGTCATTTATATTTAAATGTTTTTATGTATTACACAAATATTTATCGATGGTCTGCTTCTATGACATTCACTGTTCTAGGCACCTGGGATAAGGATACATCAGTGGAAAGAAAACCACACAAACTTTTGCATCTTTTGTTTTCAATAGGGGAGACAGGAAGTGCAAAATAAGTAAGTTCGTAAGATACTATGGAAAGAAAAGGGAGTATGAGGGTTTTCAGGAGTGCTTGGATGAGTGCTTATGATTGTAAATAAAATGGTCAGAGCAGACAGTAGAATATGACATTTGAGCAACAACTTAAAAGTTGCTGAGGGAATTAACCATGTGGCTACCTGGGGAAGAATGCTCTAGGCAGAGGGTGCAGCCAGTGCGAAAGTCCTAGGCCAGGCAAGTATTTGATGTGTTCCGAGAATAACAAGTGGGCTAGAAGTGAAGGGAATGAGAGGCAGCTTAGTAGAAGGGAGAGTTTTAGAAGGACTTTGATTTTCACTCTGAGATGGGACACGGATGATTTTGAAGAAAGGCATGATTTGATCTGGCTTTAATGGTTTTAAAAGATCAGGTTTTAAAGGATTGCACGGCTACTATTTTAAGAATAGACTACTGGGCATTAATTCAGGGAAACTAGTGAAGAGATAGTTGCAGCAGTCCAGATGAGAGCTAATGGTGGCTCAGACTAGACTGATGGCAGTGGAGAGAAGAGGAAGTGGTTAGATAATGAGGGGTACTCTGATTGTGTGTCCAGTGAGATATTGTGGCAGGGTGAGACTTGAGTTGTGAGAAAGCGAAGAGCCAAGATTTTTGGTGTGAGAAATTGGAAAGATGAAGCTATCCTTATTTGAGAATGGGAAAGACATTTGGGAGTTCTTTTTGGCACATATGAAGTTTGGAGCGTCTTTCAGACAATGAAATTGAGGTGTTTAATAGATTATTGATAATATGTGAAATTTAGGAAAGAGATACACCCATAATACAAGTGAATACTTGGGAATTATTCCTAGGATGGTAAAAAATATCGATGTTTAGAGTAGAAAATAAACTTAGGAGAAACTGAAGTCATTTTGAAACTGTTACTGACATGCTTCACAGTGATTAGTTTACATACCATAGCTGGGTATTATAAACTTAGTGGGAGGTGGTAGTTTAAAATTGATCATGATAATAACTATTCAAGTAGGTGCCCATTAGTTTGTATCACTTAAATCTAAGATAGATTTTAGTCTCCATGTATACTATCTGTTGAATAGTACTTCCTTGCTTTTACTAAACCCAAGTTAGAGTAATTACAAGTATGTAAGAAGGAAAATAACAAAACAGTATAGTGGTATTTGCTGTCTTCCTTAGAAAGAAATAGAAATTATTTACCTTTAGTTGTTCAAGATTTAATCATTGCTGATGGATAAAGTGATTTATGGACTTTTTATTTTTTATCCACAAAAGATTCCAGTAGCGCCAGCTGTGCCTGCAGTTAGTTTAGTCCCACCAGCATTTCCTGTCTCCATGCCAGTTCCTCCTCCTGGATTCAGTCCAATCCCTCCACCTCCTTTTCTGAGAGCAAGTTTTAACCCTTCACAACCACCGCCTGGTAAGGAATCATCTTTTTTTTTTTTTTTAAGATTTTATTTATTTATTTATTCGAGATAGAGCACGAGGGGTGGGGAGCTGCAGAGGGAGAGGGAGAGGCCGACTCCCTACTGAGCAGGGAGCCTGATGAGGTGGGGCTCTATCCCAGGACCCCCAAGATCATGACCTGAGCTGAAGGCAGACACTTAACTAACTGAGCCACCCAGGTGCCCCAGTAATTTTCATATTACTATGTATACTCTACTTAGAATATCAGTCATTCATTCATTCATTTAAAAAGCATTTTTTTTTTTTTTTAATTTACTTTCCTTAAGTAAGTCCTGTACCCAGCGTGGGGCTTGAACTCATGACTGCAAGATCAGGTCACATACTCTACCTACTTAGCCAGCCAGGTGCCTTACAATATCATTTAAATGGTTATTTTTCCAGGTTAAAATGCTGTAGAGCATTAATTCTCAAACCTTGGCATGTGTAGGGATCACTTGGAGGGCATGTTAAAGCAAAGCGTGCTGGGCCTGGCCTCCTTTTGTTTTACTAAGACTGAGATGGGGTAAGACAAGTATATTTCTAACAAGTTCCCAGTTGATGCAGATGGTTGAAGGATCAGCACAGAGAAAAAAAAATGGAATTCTTTTAAAGCATTGAAATACTTCCAAAATAATTTAAAATTTATGTTGAATTTTTCATATCAGAATTATCTGTAGTTACCACCCATTCATCAGAAGTATGCATTAAGTTATATAGATTGTTTCTCCTAAAAAATCATGGTTTTCATTTTGATTTTAGAAATTATAAATTATAATTTAAAATGCAAATTGAATTTGTAATATTTTTTTTTACCTTACAAATTTTTGATAAAAGTTCCTGGAGTCAGCATTTCTAATTTAGAAACTGTAGATTACTTAACACAAATATAAATAATAGCTTATATAGCTTAGAGATAGAGCTTTTAATATTAGACCTTGGAGTAGAAGAATGAGGAAGAGGCACAAGGGATCAAATGATATACATGTTTTTCAAAGCTATTTTTATCTTTCTTTGAACTTCATGAACTCCTTGCATAATTTGAAATTGATTTTTTCTTTGTTAAAGATTAGAAAATTATTCTTGTTGAATATTTTCTGTATTTGGAATCTGAGTTAAAATTATTTTTCCCAGAAGGTATTTTTTTTTTTAGATTTATTTATTTTAGAGAGGGGCAGAGGCAAAGGAAGAAGGAGAAGAGGAAGAGAGAGTCTCAGGACTCTCCGTATGGAGCACTGAGTTGGATTGGATGTAGGGCTTAATCGCACAACCCTGAGATCATGACCTGAGCCAAAACCAAGGGTCTGTTGCTTAACCAACCGTGCCACCCAGCAGCCTTTCAGAAGATTATTTTAAAGGATTATTTTAAAAACATACCACATAGAATTTGTAAAGTCATTGTCTAGCATTCATTTGTTGGAAATCAGGAAATCACATATCTTTATTTTTAGCTATTTGTTTTTGGGGGTTTTTTTTGGTTTTTGTTTTTAAGATTTTATTTGGGGTTGGGAAAAAGGCAGAAGGAGAGAATCTTCAAGCAGACTCTGCCTAGTATGGAGTCCGATGTGAGGCTCAGTCTCATAACCCATGAGAACATGACCTGAGCCAAAACCAAAAGTCATGTGCTTAACTGACTGAGCCACCCAGGTGCCCCTTTAGCCACTGTTTTTCTAATTGAATTGAATGGTAGCTTTATATCTTAAAAATGTAAGGAAACAGGTTTATATTTTGATCATTTGATATTCAAAAATATTAAACAGTCAGTATTAAATGAAAGGTTTATTTTACTGTTCAAAACATAATGTAGTAACTAACATCCAAGGTTAATGAAAATATTTTAATCTAGTAGATATAAACAGCATATATATCAAAGAAATACAATAGCACATTTTGCAGATGACATTATTGCGTATAGTGTTATCAACAGTTTGAAATACAATATTTAACTCCCCATGCAGTCATTGTGCTAACATGAAACAGGTTGCCTAGCTTGTATTAATCTTTGATTTTAGAGCATCATAGAGAGTGCTGCAGGACTTAGACAAATGAGCAAATAAATAGAATGTGATCATGATAAGGATTTCTTTGCTTCACTTAGCTTACTAAGCTAAGGATCAAATACAAGGTAGTGTTTGTAAAAGTGATTTTTAAAAATGTTTGTTTATTTAGAGAGAGGGAGAAGTGTGCCAGTGAGTCAGGGAGGTACAGAGGAAGAGAGAATCTTAAGCAGACTCCCTGCTGAGTCTGGAGCCAGACCCAAGGCTTGATCCCACCACCCTAATAAGATCATGAGACTTATTATAAGAAGTCAGAAACAGCCAGCCACCCAACCAGCTGAACCACCCAGCCAGAAACAAGTCAGCCACCCAACCAACTGAACCACCCAGGCGCCCCTAAAAGTGATTTTTTTTTAATAGAAAATGTATTCACAAATATGAGGCCGTAGTAATGGAAGACTTTTAAGAATGTAGAGTTTCATTTATAGCTATTGAAATCTTTGAATTTAACTCTTATGCTATTTTACTTTTGGTCTCCCCCCCCCCCCCCCCGTAGGTTTCATGCCACCTCCAGTTCCACCACCTGTTGTACCACCACCTACTATTCCACCAGTAGTACCAACATGTGAGTTTTCTACTTTGAGAGTTTTCTTTTTCTTTTTCCTTTTTTTTTTATTAACCTGTTGATTCTCATTCTTATGAATTTTTAATTTTTTTATTTTTAATTTTTTAAGTTTTAGGCAAATACTTATTTTGTTAAGTGATTTCTAAAAAATTAACATAATTATATGACAGTCATTCTATATTCATATTTGTTCTGTTGTCTCAAAATGTTATTTACAATTAGTTTTAGTCAAAATTCAAAGAAGAGTCTCTGGGTCATCTGTGAGGTTGGTTTGTTTGTGTATTAAATGTCTTAATAAAGAGCAGACCTGCTGAGACTGCCCTTTATTTCTTAATCCTTTATGTCAAAGAAACCGTTCCTTTCTGTATGCAAGATTCCAAACAATGGATTTGGCTTTTGCTTCTTTGTGGTATCAAATTTGTTCCTCTGTCTTCTGATTTTTGTATGCAGGAAGTTTTTTAGCATCAAAGGTTTGCTTAGAATGTGCTTCAGCATTTTTAGTAACAGTATTTAACTGGTTGGGTGCTACAGACTTGATACATCACATCAGGACCATGGAATTTCTTCTCTTATTTTCAGTGGTGGTAAGATGGATCAGACATTCAGGTAATTGAACCTGGCCATTAAAAAAGTTTCCCTTCGAATTTTCATCTGATGATTTCATCCATTGATCATTATTGCTTTAAATACTGTCTACCTTTGAATTTTATAATTTTTCCACATTTCTTACTTAGAATTTTTCTTTTAAAAAAACCTTCCTCTTACCAGCTAGTAGTAGTTAGTTGAGGTTCATTTTTATAGGAGAACCATGGTAGATGCTTAATTCTTGTCTCTTAAGTGCCGTTTTTCAGCATAATGAGTTTAGTTCTACGGGTATTTCCAGTGATATCTGGTGACTGAGTGAGAAGAAGCTTTTTCTTATTTCTCCTTCTTTCTTTCCCTTTCCTCTTCATCTCTGTCTCCATTTTTAGTGTTTATGGAATAATAGAGTTTTACTTTAGAGGAGTTGCATTCACTTTTCTTTTTGAAGTTCAGTTTGTTTTATCTTTAGACAGTAAGACCTTTCATAGTTGCTTCTCTGTCCTTTTGAGATGACTACATCAGTTCTTGGAGAACTTCGTAGGTTTCTGTCCCAATATTGGTTCAATGGACTTTATCATAAAGACATTAAATGTGACAGAATTTACCTATTGATAGTCCATTTTCCTTTTATTTATGAACTCTTCTCTATTTTAGTGTTTAGACAGGATTAGGATTCATCTTTGTTGTTGGTTAATTAGGAAGAATTCTTTATTCTTCCTAAAAATTAGAAAATTAGAAGCCATTTCTGAATTCAGCATTCAGAGAGATTCATCCTAGAGCTTACCTCCTAATTATTTCTTTATAGTTTATTCATTTTAGAAAATTTGGGATCATTTGAATGGAGAAAGAGAAATAACAGCCATGTGTCAGTACTCTGCCAGTTGCTTACACTATCTTGTTTAATTCTCATAATTCCCATGCGTGATTGCAGGTCGTTTTTTTTCCTATTCTATAGCTCCGTTGTATGCTAACTGTATGTCCAGGTAAACTGGAGTTAAATGGGAGGATAAAACAGTTCTTAAAATTCCCAAGTAAATGATGTAACTGTATTGTGACATAAATTGAACTAAAAATTCTGATGGTTGAATTGTGATTTTATATTCCTCTCGTTCTTTTTTTTTTTAACATATAAATTACATATACACTTAGGATGCTTTAAAATGAAATGTTTATTCTTTCTTTAAAATTAATTCTTCAAAATGGGAGTGTTTATACTTTTTATTTGCAGTCCACTTTACCTCTTCTTATATAATCGGTTTCTAACCTCATTTGACAAGAAGTAGTGAATGAAAGGACTAGTACATTATAATTTCAAGGTGATTGAACCGATTTGTATCATTGTATGTATTTGTCAGTCTACGTGAATCATTTCTATATATTTAGAAATTCATGACATTCTTGGAAATTAGGATTTTTTTGTTTTTTTTTTGTATTACTGGAATTTTCATCTTCAGTACTGGTCCTTATTTTATTAAACATTTTCTATGAAAACATTTCCAAAAATTATTGTGTCCCTGAATAAAAAAAAAAAAAGCTTTCTAATGTAATTTAGCCTCTTTTGATGACTTGTCATTTTGAGCATCAGTTGTGATAGGTAATAGATGCCAATAAATGAAACAGTCAAACTGTAAGTAGTTAGTTTTCATAATAAATAGAGGAGCCAGAAGAGAATCATTTATGTCAGGGCATCTTACCAAACAATTGGAAAAGAGGACAGAAAGCCATTTAAAACTTGAGCAAGGCCAGTGTTGGTCACGGTTAATATTAACTTAGCACATGAATTGATTGCCTAATTAAATCTGAAATATATTTCTCATTCTTTAAACAGCTTTAGTGCAGCCACCATTATCCATGACTCCAGAAACTGTGAAAGATGTTGGATTTGGTAGTCTTGTTTTACCCGGTGGTTCTGTTGCCAGCAATCTTGCTACTCCCACTCTGCCAGCTGGAAATGTTTTTAATCCTCCAACTAAACAAGCAGAGCCTGAAGAAAAAGTACCTCATCTTATAGAGCACCAGATTTCATCTGGTGAAAACACAAGATCAGGTAAAACAAATTCCCCAGAAATACATAGTTAATTCATAAGCACTACTTAATTCTGAGATGTCATGTATTTGTAACCAGTTCAGAGCACCAATATTAAAATGTTGCAGTATTTAAAAAGAGATCACTGTCTCCTAGAATTTCTCATAGAAAAAAGTTGGCATTCTGTTCAGGATAGAATAGATTTTGGCACCTTTCTTTTAAGACCTCTCCCACTCCTTTTTTTGGCCTATTGGGACTACATAAAGTGTTAGTGTCAAAATACAGTTTCACAAAATATGTATACTTACAGAAAGATAAGAATGAGCAAGTATTAGATTTGAATAACTTCTACCCAGTATTCTCCAGCTAGATCTAAAAGATAAATATGATATTTGGGAGTAGCAGGTCCTTTTTTATAGCACCATTGTTAGTATACTAAGACTCATTTCTGCTTTAGAAATATTTTTGTTAAAGGTGGAGGATGACTATAATGCCTGACAGTTTTCTTTAAATGTCCTATGTAAAGATTTTATGTAACATCCCATTTATGTTTTAATATTTAAATTTCACCAGGCATGGTATTAATTTTAATTTTTGTTTAGTATCTAGTGTATCTTGATTCTTCTCGGATACATGTAGTCAATTAATACCAGGCCAACTAATTATAGCATTAGTAATTACAAATATAGTTTACTTTTATAGAAGAATGATTTTTTTTGTCTGTGTTATTTTTTTTCTTTCTGTTTTAGTGATTCCAAATGATATTCCAAGTAGCTCTGCAATTTTAGGAGGACAGCCGCCAAATGTGACAAGCAATTCTGGAATTCTGGGAGTCCAAAGACCAAATGTATCGAGTAATTCTGAAATTATTGGAGTCCGGCCATCTAATGTTTCCAATAGTTCTGGGATTATTGGACCCCAGCCTCCAAATATTCTGAATAACTCTGGAATTTTGGGACTACAGCCACCAACTGTGTCAAGTAGTTCTGGACTTTTGGGAGTGCTACCCCCAAATATCCCTAATAATTCCGGACTTATAGGAGTACAGCCACCGAATGTTCCAAACGCTGCTGGACTTTTGGGAACACAACCACCAGCTGGGCCTCAAAACTTACCCCCTTTAAATCTCTCTAGTCAAAGGATGCCCGCAATGCCAATGTTAGACATTCGTCCAGGACTAATACCACAGACACCTGGACCAAGATTCCCTTTAATGCAGCCTGGAATTCCACCCCAACGGGGAATCCCTCCCCCATCAGTACTTGATTCAGCTCTTCATCCACCACCCCGTGGTCCTTTTCCTCCAGGAGATATTTTTAGTCAGCCAGAAAGACCTTTTCTAGTCCCTGGAAGACAAAGTGTAGACAATGTTCCTAATCCAGAGAAAAGGATACCACTTGGAAATGATAACATTCAACAGGAAGGAGATAGAGATTACCGGTTTCCTCCCATTGAAGCCAGGGAAAGCATTAGTAGACCTCCCCCGGTGGATGTTAGGGATGTGGTTGGACGGCCTATAGATCCAAGAGAAGGTCCTGGAAGGCCTCCATTAGATGGTAGGGATCATTTTGGAAGACCTCCTGTCGATATTAGAGAGAATCTTGTGAGGCCAGGCATAGATCATCTTGGTCGAAGAGACCATTTTGGCTTTAATCCAGAGAAGCCCTGGGGGCATAGAGATTTTGATGAGAGAGAACATCGGGTTCTACCTGTCTATGGTGGTCCAAAAGGCTTACATGAAGAAAGAGGTAGATTTCGATCTGGAAACTATCGATTTGATCCTAGAAGTGGTCCTTGGAACAGAGGATTTGGACAAGAAGTTCACAGAGATTTTGATGACCGCAGAAGACCCTGGGAGAGGCAAAGGGATAGGGATGACAGAGATTTTGATTTCTGCAGAGAAATTAATGGAAACCGTCTTGGACGAGATAGAATTCAAAACACCTGGGTCCCCCCTCCTCATGCTCGGGTTTTTGATTTTTTTGAAGGGGCCACTTCTCAACGAAAAGGTGATAACGTGCCTCAGGTTAATGGTGAAAATACTGAAAGACATGCCCAACCACCACCTTTACCAGTGCAGAATGATCCTGAACTTTATGAAAAACTGACATCTTCAAGTGAAATAAACAAGGAGAAGAGTGACACAGTTGCTGATATAGAAAGTGAACCAGTGGTAGAAAGCACAGAAACTGAGGGGACATAATCATCACTCAGTAGGTAAAAGATACCTTTTGTAAAGTTGTCATCTCTCTGTAATAGATTAATGGCTGACTGGACCATAGTTGTTCACTTTTGTCTGCCAGAATTAAGTTAATCTGATGTTCATGTTCACCTTTCTCTTAAAATAATTGTACAACTGACTTGTATAGACATTGTTCTTAATATGAACATGGTAGGTAAACATTTTTTTATTTTTCTGATAAAATATAAATGTTGCCCCCAGATTCTTTTAACTTCAAGGAAATGAATAACAGCTTGTCAGAGACTTCCTATGGAAGAAAGAATTTTTTAGATACTACCATTAGGTTGGATATGGTAATAGATATATTTCAAAATAGCAAGTGGTGGTATATCTTATCCATATCTTTAGGCTGCTGCAGAATTTTAAGGTAATAGACAAAGCTGTGATATTTTATGCAAAGACTGGCTCTAGATATTTGAGGAGCACAATACAGAGATTTTAAAAAGTGATTTTGTAAAATCTACACTATGGTCTCTGTTTCTCCAAAGTAAGTGTTTGTGATTTGTTCCTCATACTGCAGTGAGTAAAAAAGAAAAAAGAAAAAAAAAAAGAAAACAACATAAATATTAAAGTACGTTTCAATGTTGGGTGAATTTTGTTTTTAGATGCCAATAAAACTTACTTGTTTGATAACAGTGTTCTAGGAATTGTATTTTTTTAATCTACAAATTCTTAAAACCCTGGATCGTTAGCAGCATGTGCTTAGTTGCAGAAGTTTTTTTATTATTCTTAATAACAACAATGAAGAACTGTATGGTAGAAAAACATGTACTTTGATATAAAAATCATGCAGTCTCATTAGTATGTATGTAATATCTGTATATATTGTGTAAATCATATGTAGATTTTTCTGTTTCTCTGTATGTCTTCATGTACATACAGAAAAATAGTAATAGTTTAGATAATAAAATATTCTTTAAAATCAGAAAATTAGAGAAATTTGGCTAGTTGATTATGCTCATAGTCAAAACTCTTCTTAGCTTTTATGAAGGTAAAATAAGAAATATTGTAAAGAAATGCATTGGCGGTTTGGCAATTCTATTTTAATGTAGTTAGGCATGAAACCAGAGTTAGCATGGAGCCAAAATTCATGTGAATGCTTGCATTGTTTTGTTTCACATTATATTTGCTATTCTGCATAGATAGTGCTAGTACTAAAGTACTTACTGGTCACTTGCCTGAAGTGAATTTCTTAATTGCACAGAATGTATAGAGATGTTGGTGGATTTAAAAACACTATATATATCAGAAACAAAGCATCCACCATGTGTTTTGTAGGCTGTGGGTAACACTGTTCAGATTAGCCTCCAAGGTAAACTGAGTAGCAGAAAAATTGGGGATTGGTTTTCTATTTATTTATTTATTTTTGCTTTTAATTTTCATTTATTTGCTGTTTGTTATTCCTTTGGGTTTTACATATATATACATATAAAACCATTGTGTTTTTTTATTCCTGATGAAGGCTTATATTTGCTCCTATGAATAGTCATTTTTGTTCCCTGTGCATTCCCAACTATTCATCATTGCTCTATTTCTCTAAAATTCGTAAGCTACAGTTGTCAAACGTGCCCAAAGTAACAATAGAAACACACCAGCCATTTAAAATTGGATTGTTTTTGCTTACCTCTTGATGATAAGCTTGTAAGAGCTATTTTACAGTTGGTTCCTGGCCAAAAATCAAGTCATTTCTTTTTATAGGTTCTGAACAGAAACAGTACATTGTTTTGTTATGTGAACAAGTGGGTAAGAGTGGAAATTGGGTGTTTATTTCTGTAGTAATTCAGTCCAGTGATTTGAATTGGTTTCAGTCTTTTCCTTCGGATAACAGGAAAAACTGTGACATTGGTACAAAGTATTAATGTTCAGGAATGATTAGCCTTGTCCTTACGGACATTGTATTGACTGGGATTTCAAACTACTTTAGTTGCATTTACCATTATTAAAAATAAGTGACATTCACTTGAATTGAGTAGCAATAAAAATGTAAGACTCTTCAGTGACCTTTGATCCCAAGTTTTTTTTTTTTTTTTTATCACTTTTGGGCCTTCATGTGCAAACTTGAAAAAAAAATACTTTCAGGTATTGCACTGGTTTGAAGATTTTATGGTGAAAGTCAATCTAATCAGTTGTCAGTACTGTATCTAGAAACCCATTTTGGGAGTGTGTGACACTCTTAAAATAGTTGAATTATGTGTACTTGTTCTCACTTTGTTCTTACTTTGTAGTATAGTATTTAAGTGAAAGGGTGTTATTATTCATCCTTATAATGATTTTCCAAACTTGATATTTACATACACCATTTTCTTAAATAATGGAGAGAAACTTTGACACAGGACCCATCACATTTTTGTGCTTTTGATCCCAGTATTGTCACTAGAATGCTAGCCATTAGAAATATGCAAGGAATGACCCTAACCACTTTAATAAAATTGTTCAAAGTGCTGCAGGCAGTATCTACATTAGCCACCAAATCAATAGTGTTTTGATTTGTGATATGTTAGAGAATGATAAGACTTTCTGAGGTGTATTCATAGACTGCAGTTTGAGTAGATACTATTTTTTAAATTTTTGGTTTTTTTGGTCTTTAAACATTTCATTAAACATTGGCTTCTGTTCATAGCATAAATACATAAAATGCACTTTAATTTACATTGAAATTAGAAATTTATTTTACAGCAAAGCAGTCTTTATCTGCAGCATCTTGTAGGTGAAATGCTAAATTTATTGCAGTGTGTAGGGTGTACAAATGCTTAGCATTGGGAGATGGAATAGTATAAAATTATATGCTTAGAAATCTGAAAATGACTTTATACAGTATTTAATTGACAATTATTCATTATTTAAGCTCTTATATTCTTACTAGAATTTCTTTTGCCCTCATAATTTAGTTGCTTCATTAAGTTTATTGGCCATTTCACTTATAAAAGATTATAGTTTATGGAGCTATACATTTAAGGTTGTTTTGGGTGGATCAGTTTTGTAACATTTAGAAAGAAAAAGTTACCTCTTTTAATTTGAAGAATTTTTTTTTTTTTAAATAAACACTGTAGTTCATTAGACCTAAGGTGCCATTGATTGTCAGAAGCACCATACAGGAATAAAAAATGTTTCCAAGATGACATGCCAGTGATAATAAGACCCATCCTAATTCAGAAATGTCAAAATGTAAAGTGTTTTAGAATCAAAGAAATGTGGTATTCATTATGAATTTTATATATCTATATAATCCCTTACTCATTAAGTGATTTAAAGAACATTTTGATGTTTTTTGTCATTGTATATATTTTAGATGGGCACAACTTTAAAGAAAAATTTTAATATTCAATTAAAAATAATTTTGTTATACCTTATGTGCCTTTATTATCATTACTTTATTGGGTGCTATATTAAATGTCTTAAGGGCTTTTAACTGTTTCAGAGAAAGAAAACATTAACATTTTTCTCTTTAAATATTTTACATAATGTAGAAGAGAAGCAAGTATCTTTATATTCATTTTTAAGATAGGCAAAATTAAAAACTAAATATTTGTAAATAGTCATAAATACTACAGTGTGGCAGAGAATTATAAATGTTTCCTTAATTGAGGATGCTGCGGTTTTATATAAAACATCTTTTAAACTGTAACTTAAAAAAATATAGCTTAAGTTTTAGGCACTAAAAGTTTTCTTTTCCACTTCTGAAGAGAAAAAGGTGACTGCTTTTTAATGAGAGATTTAAAAACAAGATACCTTGGTTTAACAAAACTGTCTGAAACTAGAATTCAAAATTAATGGCCCAGATTGGTGGTATACTTTAGAGGCATCCATATTGAAAGCAATTTGAAATACACTGTCTCTGTGGTTCTCTCCCAAGAAATGTGTAACAGAATCACCTGTTGGAGCTATTTGAAAATACCAGGAGGTTTTGGGGGGGAGGTCACCATAGACTTACTAATATAGAATCCCCTGTGGAGGTAAATACTTTATATACACCTGTACACACACACCCCTCCCTGGGTGTATGTATACTTTTTAGCCCCCCACATACCACAACTTCAGATATATTAAAACATGTATATACCTAATATACCATGTACTTCAGATTCTTTAAAAATTTTTTTTAAATACTTTGGTGATCTAAAAATTATTTTTAATATTTCAGTAAAGTATATACTTAATTTGTGGCAGTTGGTTTTGGAATATGAATAGAAAATAGGGAAGTCATTATCACAGATGTTTTAAACTCATTAAAATGCATTAAGCATTAATCTAAAAATGAATTCAAGAAAAGGATGAAAAGAGGCGTATGAGATGGTTTTAGGAAGTATTTTTGACTCAAGTGAAACTTTGTTATAGGATACTTCAAAGAAAAATTTACTCGATAGCATGGAATTAAATGATTTGATTGATTATAGGCCCCTTTGGGATAAAATTGCAAGCATTAAATTTATTAAGGACTAGTAATATTACTAGTAGGACTACTTACATGTGGGTTGCACATTCAAAACTAATGCAAATCAGAGGTTTATTTTGCATGAGCTTTGCTCAGACATTTTTCTTGCCCTCTACTTAATTCTCCCCTTTCTCCCCTCTTTCCGGGTGGTCTTTTCATTCTTTATGTACACTTAGAATTACTTGGCCTTGTTTTTGTCATGATACAAAATTAATATTCCAAGTAATTTGTAAACTGTACATAGTAGATCAAGGGGTAGAATTGTGCTAACTTTATATTGTGGAGGTGTTAGGTGGTTGGGATAATAGGATGATCTATAGTGACGGAAGTGGAGTGAGCACTTAATGCACAGTGCTCACTAGATGGTAGACCGTAAACTTGGAACTTGTGACTTTGAGCCCAAAGTCACGATGAGAAATAGATGAGTTTAATGAGCCCATTCCACTTGTGTGTTAGTGGCAGATACGAAGCACTTGGTTGACTTGTGTTGTTTGTCCCTCTCCAACCTCCATGGGCAGCTATTAGATTTTGTCTTATTTTCCTGCCTTTCTCAGAATTCTCAAATCCTTCTCATCATTAGCACTCCAGCCTCCTTTTGGACCCTTCATTTCAGACAAGGACTGTCAATTGAATGGAACTGTGTTGAAAGCAGGTTGCTGCCCTTAGGCTTAGTGATTTCTAAGGACATTTCTAGAATTTAAACACCTTGAGTCTATGAAATGCAAAAAGTTGCATTTGTAAATGCAACTGTAAAAGTTGAGGAAGCAGGAGGAACAGAGGGAGTCACTAAAACAACATTGGAACTTTAAAAAGACCACAGATTTCATTGCCATTAGGTTTTCAAAACTATCTTTAACATTTGCTAGATACATGTCTTAAGACAAGTTACTGTATTTCCAAGCACTATTTCTTAATAACTGATCTGCAGGGTTATACTTCTTAAATTATTATTGATCATGATGTTAGCTAATACTTAATGACATGTACTATGTGACAAGAACTAGAATAATTTTATTACCTGTATAAGTCTAATGACAGTCTTTTAGTATTATTATTTTAATATTTATTTTACTAACGTGAAACCTGTCACAGATTTAAGCTATTTCCCAAGGTTATACAACTTGTAAATATTTGAGCAAAGATTGAAGCCCAGGTCTATCACTTTCAAAAATTAAGTGTGTACCATCTACTGTAGTGCCAGACATACTTGGCAGAGGCTCACCAACTATTAATTCCTCTTCTATTTAAAAGGCAAATAAATTTGTGCAGAAAAACAAACTTGAACAATCAGTCAGTCTAAACACCAAACTGAATTTGTGTTTTCCTTGTTACAAGTATGTGTGGGGCTGTTTTCTTTTCCTATAGCCAATCACTTCAGCTTCATTTTTCTTAGATTCTATTTTCAGGATTTAGGTTTTTCTTAAGGTTAAACCATGATATAATATTGTTAACTCTTAACAATTTTAAATTTTGGAGGCAAGTTTATGTTGCATTGATACTGAATAAGATTTCTTTTTGATTACAGCTTTCCCACAAATAAAATATCAAAACTTACTTATTTTTAAAAATGTTTTAAAACATGTAAAGCAGAGCCAGTGATTGCTTGCAAATTTATATTTTAGATTGTGGCTTTGGCAGCTCGTATCTAAAATTCAGCATTTATACACTGTATGTATAGCCCAAACTGTACTCTGTGTTCTTGTGTGTAAAACTCCTATATTAGGAATATTCCATGCTTTGAATGAAGTTAAATATGTAAAATTGTCTTTACACATAGTAAGCATTCAGTGTTAGTCTTTATTCACCACTTGAATTCAAGTAGTTTTAGAGTCTAGCTCTGTTGTCTTTGGTGGCAGTGGATAAATTGCAGTGATTTTACTTTACTCAGATATACAATCTGATTCTAGATTTTTCTCTTCAAGTCTTCTGTTCATATCACTAAACTTAGATTCCACAGCATGTCATGGTGCTGGCCTCTGATCACCTTTTCCAGAGTCTTTGGAAAGATGACTCCTAAACATTGTGGCCATATTACTGGCTAATTCACATGTCAGGGGAATATGCTTATAATATTTGTGAGTTATACTTCTATTTCTACTAATCTTGTCAAAGGTAATTATTATTTTGCTTATGTTATGATTATTACATGAAATAAAAAGTTCCTGCATTTGAACAATGACTTTTCAATAACAAGACTCTTGTGTTTATTACTGAACTCGGGTCAGTTTGCATATTAATAAGAATATTAGTAAAACAGAAGACTTGTGTTGAATAAAATTAACTTTTGAAAGTTTTGAAAGTTGAAAGGATAAACTACTATTTAAGAATTGATCTTTCTGTGGTAATTGAAATTACTTTGAACCTTTTAAATAGGAGAGGGTAGCATTTACCTAATATATCAGGAACTTTGAAAAGCATCACATCTTAGATATGGTGCTCATACCCAGAATAAGGATTTAAGTAGTTAAACCACCAGGACTTAATTTAAGACGCTATTTTTTTTTAAATGTACTTAATGATATTTTAATTCTAGCCCTCTTTTTATCATATTTTTTTCTGAATTGTTAGCCAAATGACCACAGGTTAAAATGCATTCTCATTACAGGGAAAGAAGGGAGTTGGGGTAGAGAGACTTAACTTTGTTGTCTTTCTTGTCGATATTGGACATAATGTATATTCAGAAATACACTTGGTAGGATCTGTTACCTCTTTTTTACAAATGAAGCAAATTCAAGGCCGTGGTTACATTTTATTTGCACAGGTGTCTGACCTCCAGTTTTGCTGACTCTGAAGTATGCTTTGCTTTAAAAGATGCTGTTTTGGAAAGGTAGATTTAATTTATGATCTGTGCAGTTAGTTTCCTGCTGTAACAACATTACCAAAAATTGGGCGGCTTAGAACAGCAGAAACTTACTCTCTCACAGTTCCAGAGGCTAGAAGCCTGCATCAAGGTGTTGGTCGGGCCACGCTGTTTCTCTGAAGGCTCTAGAGGAGAATCCTCCATTCCTCTTCCAAATTTCTGGCAGTTCTCCGTAATCCTTCATGTTCTTGACTTGTAGATACATCACTTCAATCTCAGCCTCTATTGTCAAATGGGTGGTTTTCCATCACGTGTTTTCATATCATCTGCCTGTGTATGTTTTCAATTTTCTTCTTATAAGGACATCAGTTATACTGGATTAAGAATCCCCACTCTATTGTAGTGTGATGTCATCTTAACTATTACATCTGCAGTGACCCTGTTTCCAGATAAGGTCACATTCTGAGTTGCTGGGAGATAGCACTTCAATATATATTTTTGGAGGACACGATTCATAACAACCTCTTACTGAATTCTATAACTATTTAAGATCTAAGTAAACAGACCTTGAAATTTTTAGAATACAGTGGGAAGAAAGGTATGTTTCAGAATGATAAGACATCTTTATAGAATTCTATTTTTAAATTACTTTGGTTCTTAATAACAATCCTATTCAAATCCGTAATACAAGTATTGCAAGCCATCAAACACAGTAGCACTGCCTACCTTTTAAATGAATTTGTAATGCTTATAATGCCTGTAATTTCTTTAGTAATAATTGAACTAAAAGAATTTGCAAAGAAAATCCAATACTATTAGTATGATATAGCAAAGAATCTATTTACTGCAAATTCTTGCATTAAAGAAGTAGATTTTTAACAGTGGAGGGGTTTTTTTATTTTTTAACTTTAAAATTTAGCTACTCTGAAAATTGCTGTGTGTCTTTCCATTTCATTTGGACTATTTGTATTTTTTAAACAGTATAGCATTTTCTGTTTTGTCGACTCATTAAAATTTTCCCTTAAGTGATATGACTATCACTTTGCCATTTCAGTGGGTTTGTAGAATTAGTTTTTTATTTGCCAAAGTAAAGACTAATTTGTTCACTGTTTT